CAATTACGGCATTGCGTTAACTGCTGAGCCATTCGAGAAAGGAATCGAAACTCGTCGAAGGCGAGCGGCGTTAAAAGATGCCGACTATTGCGCGATTTATTGCTAGAACGAGGGAACACGAGGGAGAAATGAGACGGGAGGGTGTAACGAGATCGAGCCGTGGAGACGAGAGAGGAGAGGATTTTCTTAAATTGCACTTTGTAGCTCCTGAGAGACCTTACACAGGGATTTCGACGCCCACGGCGAGGGATAACGAGGCGAGCACCGGGGCCCCCTTCATGGAGGTGAGAGACACACACCGGTGGGTCCACCGTCGCAACGTGCGGCCCACGGGGACATAATTGATATCCGGGAAGAGCAAAAGGGCGGCGAGCCGGTGGCGGTGGCGCGCGGGGAGTGAGGAAAAAATTACCTCAGAGAGAGTAGGGGGTTGGTGGAGAAGACACGAGGAGAAAAAAAGGAAAAAAGGAAAAGAAAGAGACGAAGGACCACCGCGATCGTACGGGAATCAACGACTTGCCGAAACTCTGGCAAAGGCCACCTAAGCGCCGACAGAGCGTCCTCTGCCTCTATCGCTCTAGCTCCAGTCTGTTTCCTCGCTAATCGTGCCTTTCTCTCTGTCTCTCTCGCTAATTGACGGTTCCGCGCTGTGCAAACATAGAGTGACCACCTCCGTCCGGACTAATTGCTAATCGCAGCTTCGGCACGAATCCTCCTCCCACTAGCTATGTTTCTCTTTCGCTCTTCGGGAATTCCGCCTTCGTGTATGCACACCCAAAGTATGAGCTAAAGTTCAAATGGCCGTGCACTTAACGGGTGAAACGCGGCAGTGGGTGCACCGCGGGATAATTCGATCTTATCGCGTGTTGAACAAGCCGCCCGCTGGGAAATCGACCGTATGGATCGTTAAAAATCGAGAGATTGCGACAATCCGTGCCAACATGCATGAAAATGAAACAAATCGAACAATTATTGAAAGATAACAAATCAAAAGACTTATAACGTAAAAAATGATAATGATGAAAATTAATAACATTAAACGAGTGTTATGTCTCTTTCACTATTAACGAATTATTCATTTTTTGCTATGTACATATGCTATTTTTTACAGTACAGTATTATAATATTACAGTATAGTATAATTATAATATCATATATCACTCTTATATAAAATAATTTTAGATATTTTCAAATTAATATTTAATATTTTAAAAATTCTAATTCTAATTTTTCGATATATAAATTTACTAATATTGCTTGCCACAATTTTAATATAATTATTGGCATAAAATTATTATTTTACTGTTATTTTATATATTTTAATTTCTGTCTGCTTAATGATTAATGGAATTATCATGTAATCGTGCAGAATAAGCATACGCAAGCTATACAATGCAATATGCGGTGCATGCGAGGAAATCCTAGTTGCCGCCATTCGGCAACGCCAACCATAAATTATAGTAGCGTACCGAGAATACTTGCGATTCCTCGCTTCTGAATAATTGCTACTGCCTTCAGCCACCTGCAGGTGTAATCCTATTATAGTATATTACATCCCGCGGCAAAATGAAGCAAAGATTTCAGCGACTGACAACATGTGAGATGTGAGATTCTAAAGTATATATTTAAATTTGAAAATGTAAAAAATGAGAAATTTAAATTAATAAACTTGGAAAAATTATATAGAAAGCCAAATTTATTTTTGAAAATAAAAATATAATTGATTTAAATAATATTTAATCCAGATTTATTTCATAATTATTTCACTAAAATATTTATTTATTTTATAACAACAATTATTTTATCATATAAATGTTTGTTACATTAGCAAAAATATCTATGTGTGTAATTCAACACATGTGTGTAGTTATTGCAAAATTATTGGTATATATTTCTTTAATTTAATAAAATAAATTTTGTTTGTTATTAACTATTCATTACACTATAAATATACGTAAAATTAATTTTTAAGATAATTGGAGTAAATGTTAATATTAGTTATAATATCTTCTGGGTAAAGGAAAGTTTTCTAGCGATCTTCTTGGATCAAGATATTTATAAAGCGAGGATCAATCCATAATCCTCAAATAAATTTTGTCAATATAAAGCAAGTACATCAGATAAACCAGATAAACGGCTTAGCCTTTGACGAAGAAGGCGTCGTTCGATTCCATGGTGAACATAAATGGAAACGGTAAGGGTGCGTAAATGAAAGGGTTTTCAATGTAAACATTTTCTTCTTGTGGGAAAAGTTTCAATCACTTTCAAGTAAGTTTAGAGAACCTTTAAATATGTACAAATACAAAAGGGTGAGCTAAAGCTAAGAATAAAAGAATATTTGAGAAATTCTGTTTAAATCAGGCATCTATATGTCACAAAGCTGTACTTCTCTTCCGAAATCGGATACGTCGAAAATCGCAATAACAATGTCGAATAGATCTGCAGTATTTGCTTAGCTACGTCTTTCCAGAAGATTGTATTCGCTTCTTGACTCACGATGATCGCGATACATTGAGATGTCTTCATCATTGACTGCTTGCCAAAATTCACTGCGTGGCCTTTTCTAATTTATAGGAAGAATGTCAAATGAAACGTCTGCGACCGCCCGTCCCATAAGAAGTTCTATAGAATCTTCTTCCTTTTTCTACAAATTTTCATGGAAGAGTAAGTTTAAGCCAATTTCTGAAAAACGGCTTACGGCACATTTACTCGTTAAGGCGGTGAGACGAACCAAAAGCTCTTGTCCCCTTACATTTAGTAATCTTATCAGAATTATACGGAGATCAGATATAATTCACAAGAGAGGACAGTGACATTAACCTCATTGCGTAGTCAATGACAAAAAATCTCACGGTTGATTTTGTCGAGTCTCGTCAAGATTCTTATGCGTCGTTTAGCTCACACTTTGGAGCGTTCGTGCACGAACAATTTGTGCACGAACAATTTTCCGCCTTTCAATGTCAGGTTCGTTTACCTCTTCGGGATCACAATCGAAAGGGAATATGTAGAAAACCACCGAAAACTTGTCAGCGAATTTAAGCGCGAACAAAAGCCCACCCGTCGGCATACCATGCCTCTAAACGTTGAGATTATCATTGTGTCGATATTTATCTGTCAGTTTCTAGCCGCGGTTCCTTGCTCGGTCATTGTCGTGTGGTAGGATCAGTGAAATCTAAAGCAAAACCCACATTTTTCAGGTTGACAAATAGACGGACAATGAGAGATTCCGATGTGGTTAGAATACATCATTTAACTACCGTAAACCTTTCCCGTCTCCACGATTCCACCGTCTCCACGATCGCGATCCGGCTTTTGCGGAAGCCGATGAAAATCGAGCATGTTTCAAGTAAATTCCGACGCGGCCTCTTAAGCAGATTATATCGTATTGCAAATTTCCCATCTCGATTCTCTAGCGAAACATATGTGATATAAGTGGTATGCAAAGCGCAAAGAGAAGTTATACATGTGTGTGTGTGTATATATATACACATATTTATAAAACTATAAAAATATAAATAATTCTGTTGATCTTTCAAATTAATAATTATTAATACTATTAAAAAGGAATATTTTATATCGTTATTATTCTGTTCGAAGTAACACGTTAGGCTTAAATATAATTGTGTAATAGGGAGATGTTTGATATTTGCTTTTAACATAAAGTATAATAAGTATATTTTGTATTTATTTTTGAGTTACCTTGACTGTTATTATGTTTAATAAAAAATTGTGACTTATAAAAAAGATTATGTAGTATGATTTGGAAACAACAAATATATGTGCATATTGTAGATGCATTGATAATTGATTGAGCTGTATAATAAACAGAAAGATTCATTGATTCTTCTTATTATTATAAAAATAATGTATATAATCATCAGAAAACAAGTACTTGATTAAATATTTTACGTCAAAAAAACACACGACTAAAAATATTAGATATCTCATAAAATATATAATTTTATTTACTATTTTTATGTACAAGACTAAACTATTTTACAATATTTTAATTAATTAATTAAGAAAATTATCTTATTATCTTATTATCTTATTTATGTAAATAAAAATTACTTTGAAATCTTGAAAGTGACTCCATCTCCAGGACCAATATGTATTGACTATGAGATAATATTTTTATAATAGAATAAGTTTAGTTTTAAAAATTTTTTTTTTCAATAATTAATGAGTTCGAAAATAGGTAGAAATAGATAAAATTATTTTGCTTTTTATTTTATTTTATATTTCCTATTTTTATAGAATGTATATCTGTATATATTTGTCGTGTATTGTGTGTAAATATTGATTATAAAATATTTTAAAAAAATACTGATATTCTTTCATTTTAATTTGTTTATTAATTTTTAACAAAAATAGAAATAAGAAATAAATGTAAAAAAACTGCGATAAAATCATTTTTATTTATCATACAATGCATAATAGATCTCTGTTAAACTAACGAAAGATAAATGAAGTCTCTGTATGTAGTTTAGATATTATGCGCACGCATTGATAATAATGATGTGAATTTAAACCTAACTAAAAAAAAAAAGAGAGTACACTAAAGAACTGTGTAAAAAGAATTTTTGTATATTTAAACAAATGATTTTTGTCGTTCTTCCCTATCGAGCGAGCATTACACTGTCGAGCAGACAGCATGCTGCAGAACGCTCTGCTTCTAGGGAGGGTATTTGTGCCGGGAAATTTGCCATCCGTAAATAAATCAGACAACCGATAATATCAAGTAGTGTATTTATAAAAGTATTTATAAAATATAATAATAAAATAGGAATGTAATAATAAAATAGGAAATTGATATAATATTATTTCATTTTAACTTTAAAAATATCGAAAAAAGTATTTTATATCACCGCCCATTATTAAAGATTCGTAGTTCTATATTCGTTGATTTATATAATTATATTGATTTATATAATTAGTTTTTTAGATTTATATCTAAATTTATTCTTTATAAAAATAGCTTGTACATAAAAATATTATAATACTTTAATGAACAACTGTGATGAATTTTTTAGGTCACGAAACCAGTCAGTAAATCTATATTGTTCTTATGGATGTGTAACATTGAAATTATGTCACGTCACATTTCTGGAATAAGGTAACATGTACGATAATAGAATTATGAACTCACCACATTGACGAAGTCCTGGAAAGTTACTGCCTGAACACGCGATTCTTTCACCCTGGATAAAAGTATGTCACGTTTATTTGTCGGTATCTCTGCCTTCCATTCCGGACTACTCAAGGCTGCCAGAAACTCCTCCAGCGGTATCTCTCCAAAACCCTCCGGATCGAACTGGAACAACAGATAAACAAATTCCAGATCCAATTTACTCAAACCAGACAAATTTCAAGCAATGCAATTACACGTACCTTATCGAAGAGCATTCGCCACTTCTGCAACGCAATAGAAACAAACTCATGTTAATCGTTTATCAAAATTAATATTAAAAAAAAAATTGCCTTGCATATGATCAAAATTAATTATCTAACCATGTCTAAAAGAGCAACAAGCTAAAAATGTTATAGACGCATGATAAATGATAGGGACTCGTCTTTTTTTTTTTTTTTTTTAGTAGAAGAAAATGTTTGCAGTTAATTTTAATAGTCAAACGGTTTATTTCTGATGATCGATTAACGTCTAACGAAATCTCATGTTAGTGACTCACGTCATTAAGCAACTCCCGCCTGTACTCGGACTCGTCGATGTCGACCTCCGAGGCCAGATCGGTATGATCAGTAACGTATCCATCGTAATGCACGCTGTTGGCCTCGCTGCGTGCGTATTCCTCCTCCTCTTCGACAGCGCCGGCGATGGTCGGTATGGAGGCACCGTTTGCCAGTAGCATTACCGCGCGCGGCACGAGGTCACCGGGTGAATCTCCTCATTCCTCCCTCTTCCACGTGCTTTCTGAAATACGAAGGGACTACATGGTAAAATCCATGCCACCTTCGAAGCGATCGATTTCGTTGATGTTAATGCCGCATAAATACATCACTCCGACACTTTCTGCATTGTCATTCGAACGAGTACTTTCAGGGCGTGATGATTGCCTCTTAGCCGCGCACGCGAACTCACTTCGAGCAATCAGGGCAAACACTTTACGCCCGAGCGATTCCTTTTCCTTCGTCCATTAAACGTATTGCATTGTGTCGCCATGAAATATTTTCATTTGAAATGTTTACTGAATTGTTTCATTTAATTTATTTTTTTATGATTTTCACGGATAATTGTGAAAAGGAAATTCTAAAATGTGTAGAGGTAAATATTCAATACTCTGCACATTTATCAGATCTTCCGGATCAACTTGAGAGAAATAATGTGATCGAATTGTCGACGTGAGAAAATATTTGGCAGACTGATGGGAACGATGGAAATAAGGGTGCAAAAGGATATTGATCGTCCTTGCACTCCTTAAGGCGTGATAGAGCAGTGCCCTTGAAACTAGCTTGCCGTTCTAAAGTGGCGCAATGTGACGATATGGCACAGCACGTTCGTACAGCGGCGGTGCCGTTTCCATGGCAATGCATCGACGATGGGTTTGGGTACATGCCAAGTATCCACCATGCCGCGTGCACTGTGCACATGGGACGCACGCCGCAACATTAATACACATGTCGTAACTGCACTTGATCAAAACGTCTTAAATTAAACAAGAAAGATATTGAGAAACAATCTTCGTTTGACTTGGTTAAATATTTTATTTTTTAATATGATCAATAGTAATAATATTCTGATTCTTTCCTAAAATTTCTAAAATTCTTACTACGTTTTAAAGAAATATTTTGACCATTAGACATAGAAATAAAAAAATTAAAATATATGAAATGTATATATGAAATTATATTTTCGTTCTATATTCTATATTCGTAGAAAATTAACTCTCTTGATTGAAATAAAATTCTTTTTATTTGAATTTATAAATTTGAATCGTGTTATCATATTTAAAGAACTATTAGAATTTTTTTGGAAGAAAATATCAGATTTCTATAAAATATTTTCATCTATGGAACTTTTCAAAATAATATTATCAATCGATATTGTATTAAAAAAATATCTCTTTACAGTAAATTTTGTCTATAAATGTATATTGCATGTAATATTTTAATTAAAATATCATAAGATTTAGAAGATTAAATAATTTTTTTATTATAGCTCTTACTTTGGAATAATTTTTTAGATTTAATTAAATAATAAAATAAATCATAGATTTTCTGTGCAATCTGCCAAACTTCAAAACATCGCAAAGTTCGATCGTCATGAGACAATAACCATAGTGCATCCCAACAGTCTAAATATCTTTCTTCCTTCCTCTATCTCTCTTTATTTCTCTCTCTTTCTATTTCCCCGTCATGCACTCTTCTTTCGATGCTCACGCAAGCCACCCTCCGTTTTGGCCGAGCGTCAACGCGAGGGTTACTCCACAGCGTCGTCGCGACCCCCGCAAAAACCACCCGCATCCCTAACACACGCTCTCTCTCCTCCCCTTATCTGACTTTGTTCGTGTGTCATGACGCGACGATGTCTCGTAGACGTGTACAAAACTCAAGGGTTGTTAGCCCGAAATGAGCGCAAGGTCATCAACCTTGATTTTACGAAGCAGCAGATCGGAAAAGAAAAAAATTACAAATCAACCTTTTATATTTCCGCGATATTTTTTTCTGTTAGCCAACATTTAATGCAAATATCTTTCGGGATATTAGTTAAAAGACTATGTCTTTATGATAAAGCTCGAAAATGATGTGATAGAATATTTTTGATATATATAAAATTTCTTCTTTCATTATGTTTTAATATTACGATGGAATTATTACTAGATATTTTATAAATAACAAAATCAATGAAGCGAGGCAACTTTTAATCCGTCTAAAATGTTCTACCTAAATTATTACTCGGAGTGCAGGAATATCTTGACTTATTCCTTTCTCGATGTAGACGTATCTCTTTATGATTCACTCCACCGTGGAGTTGCATTACCGTATGACGTTGATCCGTGACGCTTGTAAGATTTGGACGACGCGTCGAGTCAGTCCCCGATATGAGAGACGACATGGCAAGTAATCATGCTATGTTACTAAGCATACTGATCCGCGTACGGTCAATATGTAGTGGAGTCCGTACAAGTGCACATCTGTATTCTATGCGTGGAATACATTCATACTCTGATATAAAAGTGCGAAAAATGAAATAGTTTGTTTGTTTGTTTTTTAAAAATCCCCGTTTAACAAACTTATTTAGCATGTATATTGAATCATAATTTTCTTTTACGAAACAAATGGCTCATTCCAACAATCTGACATTAGATATATTTCTTTGTATTATTATTTTTGGATACTTAATTCATTTAATTCGTTATTTGTTTATAGTGTAAAAATCTTAAATGTCTCTAGTTTCCTTTCAATGATGCTAGCGCTATGTGATTGGTATTAGAAATATGCATTCCGAATTATATAGTAAACAGTGATTGATATTAATAAATTGTGTTTGATATTTAAAATCTTTTTCAATTAAAATATACACGTGTAATAACATAATGTTTCCATTTTTTCTTTGTCTTCAATAAACAAATTCACGCATTCGAAACAAATCAACAAGATTTATTTGTAAAACACTTTTACAGTTGTCTTTGTGAGAAATATTCTGTAAACAATAGACCTGAATAATTCAAATTTTAATTTTAATTTGCATTAAAGAACATAGCTTTTTAATTTTCGACTTTTATCTTGAAATTTTTTCGGAATAAGATCCTTTTTTATTTATGATTCTTGTTCAGATATCACATTAATTTCGTTGCAATATTTATATTACCGGTATGCCTCTGATTATTCGTATGGCAATACGTTCCGTAATGCTTATTATCATACAAGTTAATTACAGATTCAAGCAACTTACCTTTCGTAAAATCGGCAACGGACGCCGTGCGCTACTGACAAGACAATACAGAAGCGAACAGGCGCGAAGAGATGCATCCTCGAGTGCGATGTAACCTCGCGATCATGCGATCATAATCTCGCGTCTCGCTGGCGACGCATTTCAAAATTAATTTGCGTGGCCATGAACAAGAACGAACGAACGAAGTTCAGATACGCGAAACCGGGACATCCATCGGAATACAAGAAGTAGCGATACTTAGTGACGGTGCGATAAGCGCGCGCGAAAATCACGCACCGGAAATCGCGATGACCCCACGGATGTCGTCGTCTCGAAAATAAGCCGGTCGGCTCGCGACTGGTTCGTTGACTGGAATCACGTGATCAATTCAAGATGTTCCCGCCACCGCGTGGTCATGTGACATTAAGAAATTTGGAAAAGTAAGTCAAATGATGATTCAAATTAAGCCGCTTATGCTTGATGCTTATTTCTCATGTCTTAACAGTCTCTATATACTGGATTTGATACGAAGATATTAGTGTACATTGATACAAATCGTCACTTTGAATACCCGATCAAAATGTGACAACAGCGTTTTATTTCCAGAATGAAAATTTAAATACCGATGACGAGAAATATGCCATGATCAAAATGCGAGCAACGCGCCGCTATCTCTTAATTACGATAGCTTCGCCAATTAATCCGTGACGTTAAATCATTGCGCGCGAAGACAACGTATTCTCAAGCGACCACGTGGTCGAAGCATCATCCCATAGAGACCGCATTCAAATTGTGCGTGGAACTCGCGCGGCGACGCAGTCGGGATATCTCAGATAGAGTATAGATACGGTATCTCTCGATGAACCGGCAGATTCGTTTGGCACCAGTGTCTATGACTCACCGATGACGCTTCGAATCACCCAGCTACGATCAGGCTCGCGAATAAGATCGGTAGCTGCTGTCACGTTCACAGTTGACACTTGAACACGACATGCGGAACTGCGGCACGCGTGCCCGCGCGATCGATAATACAGGTTGCCGCGCGTCGCGACGGGGCGCCGATTGCGCCCGGTTACAGCCGAGCGCGCACGAGGAGAGGGTGGACTCGCGCACCTAACACGTGACAGCGCGAAAAACGCGCGAGGTGTTCGCGAGAAGTGAGGATCGCTCGTTCGACACACCCGAACGGAAAGGATCGTTCCTCGCCCGCGTTCGAATACGACGGCCGCGTTCGATCCTGTCGACGGAAAACGCGTCACGCGACTGACTACCAGGTCTTGCCACCCTCGCCGATTTCATCCCCGGCATCTCCCCCGCTATCTACCGACGCCCCCCTTGATTCATTTCGCCAACGGAGCCGTCCGTCCAACCCCAACCGTGCCAACGATTCGAATGTGCACGCGCGCCCGGCGTCGTTACGCTCGCCAGCGTGATGCTAATTAATGGACCCCTGGCAATGTGCTTTCGCCGTAATTGCGGAGATCAGTCTACAGAGCAATTTTTGTATACTTATTTTTACACTTTGTATACTTATTTTAAAAATTAAAAGTTTAAATAGAATTAAAAGTTTAAATAGAATATAAAATTCTATCTTTTTGTTTTACAAATACACTTAAGTTTTTTAAACTTAAATCTTATTTTCTAATTTTTAATTTGAAGCAGTATAAGTTTAATCGGCTTATTCATCCTAGTTTTTATTTAAAAAACAATTAATTATGCTATCTTAGCATAGTCAAGGTACTGCAACTGTTAATATTAATCAGGTAGCAAAACTAACTTTAAATTATAGAATTAATTTAAAAGTTAATTGTAATATTTTTAATCATATCTAAATATTAATTATGGTAAATATTAACTATAATTAATATGTAGATATTGTTAAAAATATAATTAATTTTTTATATAAGAGATACTTTATAAATAATGTATATACTGGCCACTGGATTTTCATATTCATAAATTTTAATTTTACATTAACATATTAAAAATATATATTTTAATAATTTCAATTGAAACTATTAATATGTAAAAAATTGTGAAAAAATAAACGATAACGCGTTGCATCATGTGTGCTAAAATTATATTGCTACAGTTGTAGTCCAAGAGAAAGGAAGATCATTTTGTATTTCTTTTTACTGTTCGAAGCTGAACATGGAACATATACGTATGATTTATAATTTAATGTGTGATCAGTCCTTTTACTACTGCTATAGCGTACTGTAAATGTGATTCGATTAGCATCGAACCTCTGTTTTGTCAGTTTTTCTTTTCTTTTAGAGTATCCTGAAGAAATGAATAAGTACCTTCAATCATTTTTGGTAGCATAAGTGGTCTTCTCAAAACCTTGAATTTGCTATTTTACAATGCACTGAATATAAGGTTCACATGAAACTCAAAAATTGCGAGATAAAATGTTTCATAAATGTAGCGAGGGCTAGGTTTGAATCTGCTATCCATCGATTATCAAGTCGATTGTTTTAGATACGAGCTACGCGTCGTTCCACTAAAGTCAAAAATAGTCACGTGGCTAGATTAGGTTAGATTAAATTTCCGTCATGCGGCGATACTGCTGTCACTAGTGTCATTGCATCATAGAAATGACGTGTTTTTAGGTTAGGTTTAGATCGCTGTTACGATCGCGTCAAGCCGGCACGTGTCACGACGTTGAGATCTAACGTGCCTTTGATCGTTCTCGGCACACGGATGCGAATTGACGCACATGAGGAACGGCAGCAGGGAGACCATGTCATATCTACGTGACTGGCGACAAGCGTTGCGTGCACCATACGTTTACCGAGTGGCAAACAGCACCTTCCGCATTCAGGGCCAGTTCTTGGCACTGATCCTCCTCATTCTGAGCGTGCCGATTTTCTTTCTCGCGTATCCATTGTTGCATGGTATCATGTGTTCGCCACCGAACCAGAATCTGTCCCAGTGTCGCTACTACAAGTATAACCGAACATACCCTACCTCGACGCCCATTAGAACCTCCAAGGGCATTACCTATCGAATAGCGATAGTGAGTGATCTTGATCATGATTCAAAGCTCGCAGATAAAAAAGACATGTGGCATAGCCTTATGAGAACTGGTAATCTCTATTGGAATCCCATCAGCAATTTTCTATCTGTTATCTGGGATGACAGAACTACCGTATTGTCCTCGTCGTTGTCTATGAAGGGACGTGGAATGGAATTGTCGGAATTAGTGACTTTCGACGGTCGTCTATTATCCTTTGATGATCGTACAGGGATGATATATTTCATTGAAGGTGATCAGGTTTACCCCTGGGTTATTTTAATGGATGGCAATGGTAAAAATCACAAAGGTACATAGCAAATTACAAACCGATATTACTGTCATCTTAGACAATTTACAAAATTTTCTTTTTATTAAAATTTTATTTGTTTATAGGTTTTAAATCTGAATGGGCAACTATCAAAGATGAACAGCTGTACGTTGGCAGCATGGGAAAGGAATGGACTACACCATCTGGTGAATTTGAACATAATAATCCATTATGGATAAAAGTAGTATCACCACGTGGCGAGACACATTCTCTCAATTGGATCTCTTACTACAAACGATTAAGGCAAGCGATTAACATCGAATATCCAGGTATGCAGATATTTACAGCTTGTGAATGCATGAATTAATTCATCATATATATACTTTGCATAGGTTACATGATACATGAATCTGGAGCTTGGAGCGATATACATAAAAGTTGGTTCTTTTTGCCTAGAAGATGTTCTCATGAACGTTACAATGAAACACGGGACGAAACAATGAGCTGTAATGTTATGCTAACTGCGGATGAAAATTTTGTTGATATTAAAGTGCGTTTTTAATAGTTAAAAAATCAAATTAATATTTTGTATACATTCTATAAAGATCGTAACAACGTTTAAGGGTAAGCTCTTGAGATCATTTTGAGATGATAATCCTAATATCGAAATGTCAAGGCTATAATGCTTTTTGAATTATAAACATTTAGAATTAGCGAATCAAGCCGCCTAAAGTTCGCTCAGATGTAATATAATGCACAGTATGAAAAACGAAAGTTAATTGTCGCCCTCTTCGCCCTGTCGTCAAAATTGAAGATTATAATACAAAGGCAGTGAGTTATTTTTACTGATGTTCGTATAAATACATTGTCTGAGCAAGTATATCTTATTAAAAAGAAGAAAAAATATTATATAATACATAAAACGCAAGCTGTCAAATGACATTCCCTTCAGAAATCTATTAGTTTCATATCTTATAAATATTTCTTAAAATAAATAAGATTATCATTGAAATTGATCATCGAAATATTATTTTAGAATAATCATTTTTTTTAAAACAATTTATAAATAATTTATAAAATAATAATAACATTATTTTATGTTGTTCCACTTATTTGTAATAAGTGCTCAAATTGTGCGCCATCTATTTGCGGTATTTGTAAAATATAAAACTAGCAAATTTCTGAAAAGAATGTCATCATTCGATCACAGCTTGCGCTTTTCGTATTATATAATAATATTTTTTCTTCTTTTCAATAGGATATAAACTGCTCAAATTGTTTCAATGTATTTATGCAAATATTAGTAAAAATAATTCATTATCTTTGTAGTGTAATTATGTATTGTGTAATCTTTATATCAATTTTGATAAGGAAGTGACAGTCAGCTTTCGCTTTCTGTACTGTACATATATTTTACCACATTTGAACGAGCGAACTTTAGGCGGCTTGATTCGCTATGTTTATAATTCAAAAAGCATTGTAACCTCGATATTTTGATATTATGATTTTCATATCAAAATGATCTTAGGAATCTATCCGTTGTTATAATCTTTGCAGGACACCTTTATATACATACACACACACACATATATACATATATATATATGTATATAAACTACAACAATAATTATAAAATTTATTATAGGTTACTCATGTCGGAGATCTAATCCCAATTAGAGGTTTTTCCAGTTTCAAGTTCCTTCCTGGTTCGCAAGATTCTATTATAATAGCTTTAAAGACTGAGGAATATCAAGGGCGCACCGCTACATATATTATGGCATTTACAATAGACGGAACGATAATAATGTCTGAAAATAAAATAATGGATAAAAAATTTGAAGGACTAGAATTTATATGACAATTAGAAATAGTTAAATATTTATTAAAAAATTGTAAATAAATATACACAGAATGTATAATTGTAAATTTTTACAACGAGATAAAACTTCTGCCAGAAATAGTGTGAGCTAAGACTATTCCGTTCACTAATCAGTATTGCTGCATTCAAAGTGTGAAGAGTACAAATTTTATTCTCATTGACATTATAAATTTAAATATCTGTAAATATAAAATAATGTAAATTGAGATAAATGTAAATATATGTATATACATATGCACGAATCTTTGTATGTATTCTGAACCGGCATTCTGTTATTTTACATTAATATAAATTTGGGATATTGTGTTAAAAAATACGAAAATATATATGAAATACATTATATTATTGTCTTGATGAAATAAGGTCTTAATATTATCAAAAATATTGCGTATCAAAATTTAAGCAAATGTCAGAAGTGCAACGTAGAAAAAACAATTATGAAAAGATCTGGATGTCTCGGATCCTTTTTTTACACGTCTCTCGAACTTTATCATATAGTGATCTTTTCTCTTTCTTTTCATTGCGCGTACCAGGCACACTCAGGGTTACAATATGTACTTCTATGTCAAAATCAATAATACAAGTATATATTCAGCTCGGAGGTGGCGGCAGCAGCACTGCGTTTCTTCAGCAGGGTTTAGTCAACTCGATGCACCGCAAGGATACAGTTCGTAGCTCGAGCATGTACCGCGGTTCGCGTGTATTTATTATACAACATTTGTTCACGTCCACAGTCTTTCGAGGAGTGATATTACTCCGATAAATATGTCAGTGTCCAACAACTATCAAATTTTTCTAAGAAACGGAAGCGGCATCAAGTTTTTGCATCGTAATTAATGGTCTTCCGTGCAAATTGCATTTGCGTCCAGATAAGCGCACAATAAATAAAGTTGATTGTTTTTCCAAATATATAAAGAAACAGTCCATTTAACAAAGAATTCCAACTGTCCATTGCTCCATATATAAATATATTAAAATAGAAATTTATTAAAGAAAGTAAATACATCAATAGAAATTGGACTGATTATATATTATGACGATAGAAGCTTATATAACAACTGCACAAATGGCTCAAATTGCTTAATCAGATCAAACACTTAAATCTGAACGAAACGTATGTTGATTGCAAAGGATAGGTCCGTCCTAATGGCTCAATGTGCAATGTTACGCCAGAAAATTATATCTTCCGGAAAAAGAAAAGTTAGTTTTTTATTACAAGAAACGCATTGACAGCAATTTTTTCTGCTTTGCCGCTTGCGTGAAGAAAGAAAGAAGGAAATACGGTGCTCATAAGGATGCTCTCGCATCTCTATCAGTAATGATAGCGCGACCACAATAAGGTTGTCATACTCGTGATGTAAATATACAGGGTATTCCTAAATCCGTGTATGGTTTTTCAATCATCGGATTTGTCTTTTAAAATAATAGAAAACAATTTTCAGTATGATTGCACATGTAAGTAACCTTGACATGAAATCTCGACTAATAATGCGATACGATGGAAAGATGCTTTTCACTTGACAAACACGTAGCTGACAGTCTCGAGAGAAAAAATTTTATTGTCCGAATATTTCCTGAAAAATCTTTATCGCGAAGATAATGACAATGGAGGAAGGCGCTACGAAGGGCTGGAAAGTCGCCAGAACCGGCATCTCCCTGTTGCTGAATAATAAAACCGAGGAAGCTGAAGCTCTGTTTACCGAACATCCTCATAGCTTCCACGTCAAAGCTGGTCGTTGCTTTGTTCTCTTCATGGTATGTAGTTGCGTGATGAGGCATATCGATTCCAGTTTATTCCAACGAAGTACGCTTAATGTCTCAAGGCCGCGAAAGAATGTTGTTACCTAATCAGTTTTTAATAATAAATCGTGAGCCTACGCGTGCATCGGAAAATATAAAATCGATATTAATTGATACCACTTCAGGGCAAACAAATCAAATAGAGATAGTCTCCAAATTCTAGAGAAACAAGCGTGCTTCGCTCCAATTTATGCAAGCTGCATGTATGAATATTTTAACGTCTGGTAAATATTAATTTCTATTACAATGTGATGAATCATGCAGAATGCTCTGATGACTTTTGAAGAAGACAAGTTTCAGCAGGCCACATTATTACTTAAAGATATGGAACGGGAATGTGCAAGCGATATAGGATGGCTGAAGTCAGTGAAAAGTAGGGTGTTTAGAGCGGAAGAGACGGACGTAAGTTTCCTAAATAGAATATTGATATAACTTTATTAAAAATTTATGTGTGTAAGATTTTTATGATATATGAAAATTAGACTTAAATCGATATTAAGCTTTGATTATCGATACAATAATTCATGCAAATATTATAAAATAATTACCGTAACGAATTTACGAGATAATTTGAATAAAGAAAAAAAGAAATAATTAAAAAAAATCAATTTTAGAAGGACTATGTGAATAAGTTGGAGCGCCAAATTGTTCTAGCGGATTCGCAAGTGTTTTCGGCGATATCATTGTTCCTCCAACAAGAATTAACCGGATATGTTCGCGGCTGCTGGATGCTCCGCAAAGCTTGGCGTGTTTATCAACATGCATATTCACAAATCTCACAACTGTATCGTCGTACCTTTGGTTCAAATCCAACCGGTACGTTATTATATCGATTAAGAAATCAGAATTCAATCGTAACAACTTTGCGGAAAACATGTTCCATTGTAATAATTAATTTTAATTAAAATGAAGAAGAATTAATAAGAATAAGAATAAAAATTTAATTAATAGAAATTTATATTTTCTTTTATTTTTTTATTCTTTTATTTTTTTGTCGTAACTTGTTATGTATATTTAATATACATAATAGCTTTTTGTAATGGATATTTATTATAAGAGACAAATTTTATTTTTTTACAGGATTCAACTTGTATTGCAGCAGTCCAACGAGCAATGGATCTTCTTTGCAGAGTCCACAAAGCCCGGAATCTTCAGAATGGTCAATACCATCTTGCAATGGTTACACGAACAATGTGACACCTGTGTCATCGCCATCAGGTCTGCGAAGCTCTCTATCAATGTTCTTCTCGCTCACTGGCGTCACGTCCGTACAACAGACACCGTAATTGTTGTTTCTTCTTACTCAAAATTTGTTGTCTCTGTATCCCTTTTACCCTATTCTCCTCTCACAAAAAAAAGACATCACTATCTAACGATATTTCGTAAGATGTACAATCAAATTTTTTCTTATCTTTACTCACGTTGATAACGTAATTTTACGACACGGTAAACTCACACACTGCCCAATATCTTGCTTTGCGAGAGCGAAATTTAGCTAGTCTGGTTTAGTTTGCTTTTCTTCCCTCGTTCATACGTTCTAGGCTCGCGTAGGCGGCATTTGAAAATCTAATTAAAGTTAATCTACTTCGCAGCTTTGTAGAACCTACTGAAGTGACACGTTTAATGTCGGCCGCGAGTTTTGGCTATGGTATATATCAATTATGCGTGAGCCTCTTGCCACCGTCTGTGTTGAAGGTGATTCACTTCTTCGGTTTTGAGGGCAATAGGCAATCTGGTCTCACTGCCCTTATGCACGCACGACTTGGCGAAGACATGCGCGCACCGCTCGCCACGTGAGTGCATCGTGGATTTTGAATGTCTCTCTCTGAGTATTTTTAATCAACCAGTACATAGAGTAATTAAAAATGTGCATAAGATATTAAAAAGTATTTTATAAAATCATGATTATTCCGCTGTTATTTTAAATTTTTCTTTATTTGACTAACGTTTTGTGTGTAAAATCAATTTCCATGTTTATTGCATTCCGAGATATCTTTTATGCAATATGCGATTAGTTGGTCAATATACTACTATTTTGTCGTAGATTAGCTTTACTTTGGTACCATACAATTGTACGTCCGTTTTTCGCACTTGATGGACCAAATGTAAGAGCAGGCGTCACAGTGGCGAAACAATTGATAACTGAATGCAATACCGAATTCCATAGCTCTGCCCTTTTTCTTTTTTTCGCGGGCAGAATGGAACGTTTGGAGGTACTAATAAATTAATTAATAAATATTATTGTCTAAATATCTTTTATAAATTTATTTTATTTGAAAAATATTCTGAACATCTGGATATCTTTAAATTGGAAAACATTTATCACTTTTTGTGTATAACCTGATTTGTTTAACTTTTAATTCTATATATTTCGTTAATATAATATTATTGCATAATTCAATCATCTTGTAGTCAAACGTCGATGCAGCGCTAGAAGCGTTTGGCAAAGCTGTGGAAGTTGCAACTCAAAGGGAAGTTAAATTACTGTGTTTGCACGAAGTGGCTTGGTGCTATGTGATACGTTTTAGTTATGAGGAGGCATATCGAACCTTATTACAATTACAACATCAATCGAGATGGTCCAAGAGTTTTTACGCGTATTTAGCCATGGGTAATTTAGCACTGTTTTATTTTGCTGCTTGAGTAAACGGATTTGGATCTTTTTATTGTGCTATGTTTGCAGTTTGTTGTGGAGCTAATGGCAAATTTGATACTTTTTTGACGATGTACAGCAAGATCCTTCCTTGGTTCCACGAGACGAGAAGCGACTCGCAACTTGACGTTTTTATTATGCGCAGAATACCAAAACTCGTCGATAAGGAGACAGGACATCCTTATACGATTCTGTATTACAGATTGCTCATTTATGAATCACTGTATTTGTGGAACGCTTTGCCATCTTGTTCTACCGAATCACTGCAGGGAATATTGAAAGGTAATAATGGATTGGTTTTCTTAGTGATAAAATTTTAAACAACAGAAATCGAAAAGATGACTGAAAAATTGAGATGCTATTTAAAATAATAATTTATAATGACTTCTTAATTATTTGAGATAAATTTATGAGATAAATTTTATTTATTATCTAATTGTATTATCAGAATGCAAGGAAAATCATTCCGAAGAGCCGATGGTGGGTTTGTCCGATCTCATTGAAGGTGCAGTGTGTCTTTATCTGGGAGATACTGAAGCAGCCATTAAAAATTATCGAAGTTGTCTAAAGCGTAGATGCCCGTCTAAGGATGAGTTCGACCAGCATATCAGCGCATTTGCGCTGTATGAATTAGGAAGTAATCTTTCTAACACTAACGTAAGTATATCGAATACATATTGTTTATTTCCGTTATTTCTTACGCAACTTTGTATCTCGTATTTTAGAATCCTAATGAAGGCAGAAGTTTTTTATTAAAGGCACAAACTCAGTACAAAGATTACGATTTTGAAACCCGACTCAATTTACGTATACATTCCGCCCTCAAAGAAATATAGTAATCAACTGTAAGCGTCCGATATTACATTGTAATATAAAATAGCTTTAATATCAAAAAACGTATTTATGTTCGGATTCGATAGAAACGTTTTATATATATTATTACCGTCCAAAATCTTGTTATTTTAACAATAAAATTCAAGATTAAATAAATTATGGATCTGCACCGAAAATATGATATTATAAATACTTTATTTATATTTTACGTATAAGGATTAATACAAATATAATTCTATATTATAATTTCAAAGATCAAAGATGAAAGAAATTTTATAGCAGATAAATATTGTATTAATAGATAAAATTTGTTATATTTATTTAAAGCAATAAATTTTATTTATAAAAATTTCTGTAGCAGAACATAGAGATTTATATAAAATGAAGTATGAGTGTTCGTTTACTCCGTTTAAAACATAGGTAAAGGAATTGGATTGCATTTTGCATGATTATTTGGAAATACTTACTTAAAAAAAATCATGTATATACATTTTAGCATTGTCTAAATTCATATTCTGTACATATATCTTGTATAACCGAAAAATAATATAAAAATAGGATAAGAAAATATATTTGAACATTTCATCAAAATAGAATGAATTTTCTTAATCCAAATCTGCTTATTTTATCTTTTTACTCAACTCATATATTTTCAATTTATATATGGCGATTTATATATTCCTAATCGCGAGTCATTCTTTTTGCGATATATCGATTATGTACAAATTGGTTTTCAATTGCTTTCATTCAATTGCTTCGACACATTCTGCAAAAATATGTTCTTGTCACTTATAAGAAATATCATTAATATTTAGCATGAATTGATTTTATGTTAGCGCATGTTAGCATAATTCTTGTTAGCGTATTTCTTCTGAGAACACTTGAGACATAATTGCGTAATGAAACGACGTCGATGAGCGCACGAAGTACCTTCTGTTGCGTTAACGCAGGGAATTGTCCCGGTATTCCGGTCAATTGCAATCAACGATTTGCTTGGTGCACGAAACTCATCAAACCTTTCGCTTTTTGTGTCATTACATCGATGCTCGGTATGAAATTTCAGCTTAATAAATTAATTTTAAAAAATTTCTTGGTATTTCTTTACACAATCGGTTTGTGAAATTTAATATAAATCTAATTTACGAGCTCACTTACGAAGAACTCCAATATTTTTAGCAATGTCCGTATCTCATCTTTGCGATAAATATTCCGCAAGCGCGTCATTCAACATGATCAAGGCAGATTTGGGAAACCTCAGGTCTCATTTGGGCACTCTCGCGGTAATTATTTGCCATCAGTAATACGATTACACGCAACAAACAATGTTTTCTAAAAATAAATCCTTATTTTAATATTACGTTGTACAATTAGTGTTTTATATTGTTTCTACAAAAAATGCATTAGTTAGAGGTGAAGAACGTAATAGAGATGCGTGACGAGTTGAAGAGCAAGTTGAGGGAAGTGGGCAGTGTGATCCCAAAAATGTCAGAAGCCATTCTCAATCTGAGGAATGAAGTGTCTGAGGGTAAGAAAGGTGCGACGTATAAATGTTAACCGGATGCTCTCGATGCAGTGGCATTTCTTTGATGTCAAATATTATTTGATTAAATAAATAGGGCGACGTATTATCTTTACCCATATTGCAAGCGGTCGTATGAAACAAAATGAAAGTTTTTCTCTTTGTATCATTCGCGCGTATAATTGTTTTATTATATTTTTATTTTTATCCTTTTATTCGACAAACAAATTCAATCCTTTGCCAGTTTCTAATATTATCGCAAATGCACGTTGCAACAGAGATGAATCTACATACGAGAAACTTGTTGAAGGCTCTGTCACCGGAGACCGTCAGAAACATGATAAAAAGTGAATTACAGATGTACGATGCCGATAAAACTGGAAGGACGGATTACGCTCTTGAAAGTTCAGGTTTTATCCAACAGTCTATTTTTATATAGCTTTTTTTATATAGAACGCATTAATTAAAGGGCGATCTCTTGCGACCTGCTAATAATCTCATGCGTAAGTGGGATACAAAGTGGCCTTTACTTCTTTTTTATAATCAGCTTGAAAATAACTTGTACTGATCTTTTTAGTCACTATTATAGAATTTAGAGTATTATGAGAAAAATATAGAATTTATTCTTTCCGCGATCATAGAATTTCTCTCTCTTAAATAAACATTTCTACAGTAATTTATTTTTTAGTAAAAAAAAGTTAGAACATACTTTTACTATATCGTTGCAACCTTTTATTTGCAGGCGGTATGATTCTTTCAACACGAAATACCGAACCTTATACAATTGGTGCGCCTGTGCTCAATCTGTTTGGCATACCGCTTTGTCAACAGCAAAATACACCCCGAGCCGTGATACAGGTTACCTGAATATACTTAATTTTATTAACGTTCTGATCCAAAAGTATTTATCAGACCGGTGTTTTGCCGGGCGAATGCTGGGCCTTCAAGGGCAGCAGCGGCAGTGTGGTGATTCGATTACTTGGCCAAGTACACGTGTCTGGAGTCAGTCTCGAACACATATCTCCATTGATATCTCCAACTGGTGAGACAGCTACCGCGCCTAAAGATTTTTCCATTTGGGTCAGTTGTAATCATTGTAATTATATATAACATCATATACACGATTTACATATTATAAATATATTATAAATATATTTCAATACTGTTGTATATATATATATATATATATATATATATATATATATGTGTATATATATATATATATATATATATATATATATATATGAGTTTTGTATGCAAGTATCATTAGTATAAATATTACATTTTAAATAATTGCATACCTATTATTATATTATAGGGTTTAATGGATTTCGAGGATAAGAAGCCTTTCTTATTTGGAAATTTTATATATGATAATACCGGTTCACCGTTGCAATATTTTGAAGTCCAGGTGGAATATTCAATGCGATATGTCTTAAAATAATTGATATTAAATTATTTAATTGTCAATTTTTGTATTTAATTATATGAAATAAAAATTTATTGCAGAATCAAGCGAAAGAAGTGTACGAGATAATTGAACTGAAAGTTCATTCTAATAGCGGTAATCCGGAATACACATGTATCTACAGAATACGAGTGCATGGCACGCTTAGTAAGACACGTATATGAATATATGTACCAGGTATGAAAAAAATCATATTTTTTCTAAAATTATATACAATTATAATTTAAGCGAATGAGTAGAAAATATTTTCAATGAAATATAATTTGATCAAATTTATAATAGATCGTTATAATTTACAGATTCTCGTCTTTTAATCGGAAGTACTGAAATAGATTGTCGCTTGATATCAAAGGATATTATATGCTATAATATTGATCAGTCGCTGAATGTAAATCAGGACAGTGGGTGGTAGTTAAATAAAAGCACGAGCAGCTCAACGTAATCGTCGCTCGATTTATTTATTCATTTGTACATATTTAGTTCTTTCCTCGAACTCCTCGCTATCTCAAATCTCTCCTCACGCGTTTCTTCGTCGTACACATACCCCACATTCTTGTCGTACTCTCTTCGGTTTCGTGTGATGGAGCGAGGCCAAAGTTTCACCAATCATCAGGCGCATACACGCAGGATATCAGACAGACAGAAAAAAAACGCTCTCCTACGGCGATCCTACGGACACCGGCCCCATTGTACACCCCCCATTACCGTAATTAAAATAGCACGTTATATATCTCGAGGCCGGTCGCGGCCCGGGATCTTGATTTTTCTTTCTCTCCGTTATGTTTAGTTTTATAGCTTTTGCGTTTTCATTAATTCTTGACGATTACGCACTGCCTTCTCTCTACAGGCGAAGAACAGACTCGAGAGGCACACTGCGAGTTTCGATACGACATTTCTCTCTCCATCGCGCGTGCACACGTAAAATTTTCTAACAATTTTACCTCTGCCCATCTCCCTTTGAATCGATATTCTTATATATCTTTTTTTTCTTCTTTATTTTTTTTTTTTTATACAGTACGCAATTGCCGGACTATCGATACGTGTGCAGCTGATCGGCGAACTCGCGCACGATCGTAATCGGCGCGTGTCTAGAGTAACTATAATTCGGAGGTCAGTCGTCTATATAACGCTATCGAGCTATCGAGAGCCGGTCGTGGTGCCGAAGAAATGCGAGTACATGTACATAAGCACATGGAAACGTGATTATCTACTTTCCTTAAAATATCCTAAAATCAGATCCAGACCAAGCGAAACTCGCTTCAATAAGCGCAAACGATGTCGCCATTGTTTATTCACGTTTGATCTGGATCCAACTTAGCATGATCTGATATAGCATTCGGGATCGCTCGTTGCTTCTCTCTATGTCTCCTACATATTTGTTTTATGCTACGACGTTTTTAGTTGAGGTTTACCACGGCCAAGACAACGTGTATGAATCATTGCATATGCTTTATTAAGTTTCTAAAGCTTGTGTCTTTGTAAAAGTTTCAAGTCTTACTTTCTCTTTCACATAGTGACGTGAAACTTTGAGCTATGTAAATCATATTTTATTTAATTTAAACACGTTGATTTGTGAAAATCAATTCCTTTAAAAAGTTAAGGCTAAAAAATATATGGTATGTGATACAAAAACGAGCTAAACTTCACGTACTAAGAATATTCAAGGAAAGAGAGCTATAATTAAGCTAATTCGTTATATAATTTGTTTCAAACATGCACACAGGAAACCATTCTAGAAAGCAAATTTTCAACCATTCTGGTGTTAAGGTTTATAACTATGGAACGACTCAAAGTTTCCACTGAAGATTCAATGATGAAGTCCGTTCGAGTATATTCGATCAGCGTTGAACCAGAAATTCCACTTAAACTCAACTTAAAAACGTCGCTCGACTTGAGATTTTGTTAGGCTTTTTGAATGAAACGCGGTATCGACCGAACAATCGATCGATCGACGATTACTACTAATTTTTAAGCGATGCGACGCGCCCGGCACGTCTGAACATGATTTTAACGACTACACCTTCGACCCGACAAAGGGTGCTAGAGTCGTCGGTCGCCCTTTTGCAGCTGAAAAAAAAAAACGCGGGCACCACCACCGCACGAAGGTTCGTCAACGCTCGTAAAAGGCATAGAGTTGTTTATTCTTACTTTTTTTTTTTTGTTAGATTTACTTCGACAATCGTTAAATATATTACCGCACGCGGTAGTATCAAAATAAACCACATCAAGTGTAGAGTATAGAATATTCGTAGGTGTATGTATGTACAGTATAGAGTTTCTATTTATCTCTGTTTTGTCTCTCTATTTTTACGCCTTACGAAAGCCACCGAAACATTGGTTTTCGTTTTATTAAAAAGTCAGCTACATTCCTAAATTATTCCTTGCTGCGGCTGCTGTCGCTGCTGCTGCTGCTGCTGCTGCTGCTGCTGTTGCTGCTGATGTTACGGTTTCATTCTGATATTTGCTGTTACCGTTAGGAAATATACTACGATTAAAGTATATCACAGATGTCAACGAGAAGAACGCTCTAGAGTGTGAAAAGAGTGAAGTGAAACGAAACGAAAATAAATCACGATTCTTGAACGCCGATTGTTTAATAATCGTCACAATTGATCGATCGAATCTTTAATGTCAATTTAAAAAAAAATTTTGCCACGAAAATTAAAATCTATATTTTGATATTAAAATATAAAATTAATTTATATCTTTTATAAAATATTTTTATATTTGTATATTTGATTATCTTAATTAAAAAATCAGGCACATATAATGCATATATAATTATAAAAAGTGTTCATTAGTCTAATTTGACTAATTAATTTCTGTTAGTCGACTCAACGACTAAAATTACAATCCACATCGATCGATTGTAGACATCTTTGATTTCCAATCGGCAAATCGTGCGCAATTTTCAAAAGTTAGAGAATAAGGAAAGGCGAGACAGTGTGGTCCAATTAATTGCAGTTTTGTCGCGTAGACTCGACATAAGATCTAGCTATAAACTACTGAAATTTTCTCTTTCTCTTTCTAATTTTTATCGACGTCGCAATCTACGTCGTTCTTTTTCCTACCAATTCCTACGAATCGACTTCCATCGATGCTTCGGAAACGGAACAACGAGGTCAGTTCCGTTGGCAATAAGAGATTGTCATAGGTTTTCAAGTTGCGTGATGCGTGATACGTCGCGCATTTTGCATAGCCGTTTTTGCGGTATGCATCAGTAGATTCCCCTAATTACATCATTCCATTTGCGCGACGCGCAAGATATTTTTTTCATTCTCTCCCTCTCTTTTGCTCATTTTCCCAAAAGTTCAACCTCCCTTTAAATGCTCGACTTGTTCGTTTTGGCAAGTTCACGGCGGCAAAGTGACTAGAATATAACGGCTATATTGTCATGCACTACAGTCTTTCTTAGAGCCCTTTCTCAAATCTCCCTTGTGATCTTCCACGATGATGTGTCTCCGCCATAGAGTGTACTACGTTGTATAAGTACTATGTTTCATCCCTTTGAAACCTCCTGTGCGTATAACTAGAGACTACTTCGGCTCGTTTGCCCTGGATTAAGAAGGATCTAATGATCTACCGGTGGAGGACGGTCTCTCCGACGGTGTCTCCTTGCTCTCGTCCGTGCCGCCACTGCCTCTACCCCCGTTTCGCATCGTCGTAGTGGAGGACCCGGTGATCGAGGCATCCGGGGTCTCGTCGTCGCGCAATCTGCCGCCGCGCCGTTGCCCGTTGCTGCTACTTGCCGAGTCTGTATCGTCCACATATATTCTCACGTCGGATCCAATAGCGCCGCCCTCACCGATGTGCACGCCGACATTGCTGCCGCTGCCACCGGTCCGACTGTCGCTGTCGTTGCCGTTGCCGCTGAGGCTGGCAGCGCCGTTGCTGATGCTGCCCGCTCCACCGGCACTGACGGCGACGCTGATGCTGGCGACGGCACTGAGACTACCGGCGACACTCAGACTGCCGGTGCCGGTGCTTTCGCTTGCGTTACCGCACGGCGACGGGACTTCGTCGGATCTGTCCTCGGTGGTGACGTAGATGTGGCTGTAGCCCTCGCCACGGATCATCGCGCTGTATTGATCGCTGGCGATGCTGGTGGTGGTAGACGCACCGGTGGCATCCTGCGTCTTCAACTTGGACGGCCTCCTCTCGTTGATAACGGATTGCACATCGAGGTCCTCTTGAGGCGCCGCCGCCATCGTCATCGCCGGCCGTCTTTTCTCATCTATCCTCGGCTTCGGCTCCTCCAATCGGGCTTTGCCGCCGGCATAGCCGTTCGCGATGCTGAGCGTCCGCGAGCTACTGGTACCAGCGCCCGCGCTCGCGCTCGTATCCGATTGCGATGGTGATTGCGTATCGCTCGATGTCCGGCGACTCATCGTCGCCTTGGACGGGTAGATCTCGGGGGTTGGCATGAGATAACGATCACTGGTCAATTTCGGCGGAACGCTCAAGGTGCTGCTTGAGCCGATGGAAGTAACTATCGAGGGACTAGTTGGCGGTTTGCTCACGGTCAGCAGAGATTTGTTTTCACGTGTTTCACTGGTGATCGCCTGCAAAATCAATGTTAACTTCATATTTATACTGATATGTCATTTCATTAATGCTAGATGATAATTTTTGTAAATATAAGAAAGAATTTTTGCGAGAAGAACGAGAAAGTTTATCTTATTCTAGATTGTCAAGGCAAATAATAAGAAGAAATCCATTTTGTAAATTAAATGAATAAGAAAGATATTTTTAACTTTTATTATATCTTATAGTGTACAATATCAACTATATTATTTACCTTTTATTTAATATACGAAATTTAAATTGTTAAATTTGAACTGTTAGAATATGATTTTTCTTACTTGCAACTTCTGAGACGATTGTACGCGACTGATGTCTTGACTAGCTGTGGCGTAGCTGCGTTGTGGAATAATACGTGGCACGCTTAAATTGCTCACAGGTTTTTCAAAGACTTCAGCGACCTCGAAGTGCATCGGTAGCAGTGACCTTCGTTGATGATGACTCGAATGGAAGGTTTGTCTGCGTTTTGACTTAAACTTGGACGGTCTCGAACTCGAACTGCGATAATACGAACTGCGACGTTTCTCGTCCAAGGATATGGAAATCGAGGCATCTAAAAAATAGAAGTCAATTAATTTCACAATAAGACGCAATATCCGAAAAAAAATGTAATATCACAATATTAATGTTATAATAATCAGTCTACAAACGCTCTTACCATCTATGTTTCTCTCTCTCGGTGGATTGTAAATAAAATTCGCGGGTAAGGATCGTACTTTGGCTAATCCTGGTCTTGCAATGTGTATTTTCTCATTTACCACCATCGACTCACGTTCCTTATCTTCATCATCGTCATCTTCATCACCATCTATTCTACTATTCATCGCTATGTCATCCTCCTCTTCCTCCTCAAGAAGTTCTTCCTGCTCCGCAGCTAATTCTCTCTCCAACTGCGTTTCCATGTCAAGCTCGTCTTCCATCTGTAATTAAAATATTATGTTTCATATCTTCCTGATAAAATCAAGATAAACTCGAATATATCATATAAAATTATTCGGAAACGTCACCTGTTTGTGACTTTCTTCGAGATGTTTCATTAACACAGCGACGACGACGTTCACCAGTACAAATTGCGCCATCAGAACAAAAATCACGAAAAATATCGGAGCGATAATAGTGCTCACGCAACAATTTTTAACACAGTCCGCCGCATCGTCACAATCATCTCTTAGCGTGTCCTTCATGATTCCATTCCAATTGTCACCAGTAGCAACCCGGAAAAGCGTCAGAAAGGCCATGCCAAAGTTACTAAAATGCGCGTGTTCGCCAAGACCTTGGCAAGGCATTTGATCATTGCATTCTGCAGCAAACAATTAATTCGATTAAAATGAATTTTCCTTATAATTTTTGCGATATTTTTTACACATTCTGTCAATGTTTAAATTCTTATGTAATTACAAAAAAAAAAATTATATTTAACTTATTGAAAAATATCCAAATAATTTGCATAACTTATAAATATAAATATAAATATATATATTTATTTGTTAAATTTATGTGTAGGAAAAATCTCTATTAATTAAAATGTTAAACTTACGAAATTGTCGTATTATGAAAATATAAAATCTTCTATAAAGCTAAAGCTATTTTTATATATAGTCACATATATAAAAATATTTTATATATTATATATAGAAATTAACATTCTACTATTTGGAAATAATAATTACCTAATCGACCGAATAGTTCCACTCCTAATGCGGCGAATATAAAGAAGAGTAAGAAAAACAATAGCCCCAGATTGCCGACCTGCGGTAACGCTTGCATCACCGTGTCCAAAAGGGCACGTATACCTTTCGCCATTTTCAAGAGCTTCAACACTCGGGCTATTCGCAACACTCGCATTACGCGAATTATCGTAGGATTAATGGGAATGATTTTGGATTCGACCTCTTCTAGCACGATGCCAACTACTGATAGTATTACTATTCCTACATCCAATTGATTCCACCTGTAACAAGAATCGTCGTTAGAATCGTTATTTGTAAAATTGTTTTCTTTTTCAGTACTTACATTATTATTTTACAGACAACAATGTGATCCTTAATCTTATGTTTATAAAAATATATTGGAGAAAGAAAAAGGGATACTTACTTATCCTTCAGATAAAGCTGTATGCCAAGGGCGACAAGTTTCATGAAAGATTCAAGTATGAAGACGGCGGTGAAGAAATAATTAAAAATCTTTAATGCGTATGTGAGCGCTTTCGGCATCATGTAAAATTCCATCGCCATCGTGACGACATTGAGACCGATGACGGCGGCGATCGCCAAGTCGAAGTACTTGGACGTCACGACGTTGTGAACAAACAGCCGCGACTTGGAATAATGGGTGTAATACGGCGGCTCGTGCATTTCTGAAAATTATGATCGTCATTGCATATAAAATGGCGCCTCTCGAATAATAATCTGCTGCGTGATGTAGAAGTGGCATTAACCTAGCTGACCCGGCGGCCACTCACTTCGTCTCTTTTTCTCCATCTGCAACGCGCGTTTGGCCGCTCTTCGCACGCGCTCCTCTTTCTCTTGTTCTTCACGGCACCTATGGAAATTTTCGACTACCACGCCGACGAACATATTCAGCACGAAGAAACCCACCAGCAATATAAATGCGATGAAATACAATAATCGCCATTCGGAGTAATTTTCGATAGGCTGTAATCAGTTCTGTTACGTCAGATTGTTGGACATCATGCGAAAGTACTTGGAGCTAATTATATTCTTTATAGACAAATTAATTATATCAATAAAGTAATATTATTTTAAATACATTTAAAGAATTACCAAATCGCAAATCAAATCTATATCTATTTATCTAAGTGAAAATTTATGATAAAATATCTTTACAATTAACAATAAGAGGACATGAAAGAAACAACAACATTTATTCCTACTCATTGTAATTTTTTTACCTGTTGATCAACTCCGACAGCATCTAGACCGGTATACATGATGTTCACCCATCCATCTCGTGACGATAAGACGAATAATGACATAAGAGCTTTACCAAGATCATCAAAATTATACTTTCTGTTTAGCCAGACATTTCGCTTATCGGCCAGGCAGTCCGTTTTATTGCGTACGTTCTTGATATCTGGGCCTTCACAATAATAGAACGCCCCCTTGAATAATTGCACTCCGAGAATACCAAAGATCACGAAGAATGTGCAGCAAATTAGAACAATGTTGCCGATGGGTCGTAATGAAGATAGCAATGTTTGAACAACCAGTTTTAAGCCAGGTGCACGATTGATAACTCGCAGAGGTCTTAGGGATCTCAATAATCTAAATACCTATATTTTTCACAGAGATGATTAATTGGAAAAGAGATAAATAACATCAGCAATAATTTTTAAAAAATTATTTAAATAATTAATTGAATTAATTGTTTTAATTTATTAGTTATTTTATAATATCATTTTCTTTTTTACCCTTAATATTCCAAATATTCTAGGGCTACTGGACGAGAGTAATGACATCGACAAATCAATTATGGAAATAATAACGAGAGATCCATCCATGATATTCCAGCCTGACGTAAAATAAGCATCTGGACCATACAACATACTCGTAGCAACGACCTAAAAGAATAATGCTTAATTTTATAATTATACTCTAAAAATTCGTTAATAATAACGGCATGTAATTTGCAATATAAACAATTATTCTGAATTTATTTAATATAAATTAATATAATTATTCTGATATAAAATATAAATTAAACAAAAAGAAAAATTATTAGTTATAAAGATCCTATCTGTCGAGCATACATTGCCACCTATTATCCTATTATTTCTAATTGTTTCTAATGATCTTTTAGTTATCATAAAATAAATGTTACTTGATGTTACTAGATATTAGTACTAAATGTTACTAGAGATTAGTTTTGTCCGAAATTATCATTGTATTTTATGAGGATTGTTATTACAGATTAAAATCTTAAAAATTATGTTGATATGTTACCTTAATAAACATCTCGATAGCAAAAACGCCAGTAAAAATGTAATTTGCGGTGGACAGGAAAATTCTCTCACGGCTGTCCGGCGGTATATTCGGTCGTTCCATCGCCAGAGTAATGCAATTCAATCCGATAAATAGTAATACCACGTTGTCAAACCATTTTTGATCAACAAGCCATTGACACAAGATACGAAACCTGTAATACCGAGGAATGAGGTCTTACGTCATATATCTCTTCGTATAAAAAAATGGCTGGCTATTTACTCAATTTTATTTAATAATAATGTTATATAATAGAATATCTACAGGTATTAATTAATTTATAATACCTGTTATTTGGTGGAAATAAATACAAGGAATAATTGTCACGTTCTTGTAAGCAGCCCTTAGGTTCGAAAAACATGAATATCTTTTTGATCCTCTCGACACTGCTCGCGCTGCCGTGACTGTTCGATGGCGGAGTCTGTTCGCCACCCATTCTCGGACGTTCCTCTTCTTGTTCATGAAGTCGCTTAATTCTCGGCAGTGGACCAGTCTCCATCGAGAGATTGTTGATCGTGCGTGGAGTCGAAGACGGCGCAAGCATCTCGTCCAATGGTAGCGTCTTCCTCGTAGATGTCTGGACATTCTCGTATCCACGCAGCGAATTTCTTCGCGAAAGCTCGCCGATCCATCGCATCTGTAAATAATAATTTTCTAATAATAATAATAGTTGTAAATTTTTTTTTCAATCTCTTAAAGCCAAAATCATATTGTATAAAAAATAATATTTACACAATATATTTGCTGATGTATTATTGTTATATTACTTTAAACTGTATTTTTAAAGATATCAAATGACATTCAGTGCAATATAGCGATGTAAAATAATGCAATGATAAAGTAATAATTTATGGCTTAGTAAATGTCAACAAAGATATTGTATCGCAACCCACTTGATTAGGCGTAACTGTGTAACGACGAATCGACCATGGGCCATGGCTTTCGAGCGAATTGTTAGGACTCAAACTACGATTATTGCTTGTCAGGACGGTAGTTCGATTATTGGGTGCGTCACGCTGTGTATCGTTTCTTATCGAACCGTGTAAATAACCGCCATTAAAACTGGAAAAGATTAAGATATTAAAAGTTCTTATTATTACAATTATTAAATTACAATATAGGTTATTATTTCTATATTATTTATAAAAAATTAAATATTACATAATCTGAAATAATTATCTATCTGTTCAGTTTTTAAATATTTATAATTAATTCAACAATTATTTATTTTTCCCGCAAGTGATTTTTGGGGTAATCGATTTTATTGACTTACGTTGGATTGGATCCAACAAAAGTACTGCGTCCATTATTAAGTACAGTAGTGTGACCGGCATGTTCGTCATCGCTTTGCGACCATCGTTTCCTCCGTAAAGATGGTCGTGACAAGCGCCACGAATATCCTCTTTGCACCCTCGGCGGGCTGAAGTGGAAAGAAGCGGTATCAGTAAAAAGAGAACGGCATTTAATGTGCAACTGAGGAACGACGAAATGCGGATACCTAGAACTTGAGTCTCTCGCTGAGGGATTAACAACGGCCGTAACGAGGCTGATGCGTCTCGGGAATTGACCGGCTATTAAGTTATTCGTCGGTATTTTGTTGGATACGTCAGGTAGCTTCAGCAATCCCGAGGGTATACTGCACTGACTCTGTGAATACAAAGCACTCGTTATCATTATTATCATATTTTCTCGTAATATATCCTCCTCAATCTGGTATTATAATGAAGTACAGCAGAAAACCTTTCAAATTTAAAATTGAAAACATGAGAACCTCATCGGGATATTGACTGGCCAAATATGAAATAAAACGGACAAAAATCTCCATTTTCAAGTACAGACTTTGCTACGCAGCGACATTGTTTTATTATAGCAATCGCGTCACGAAATCTTCGCAGTTCTTTTGCGTTACGACGACGGGTCTTTCACTGAAATGAAATAACGTACGCCAGATCGATCGATGGACTCGATTGAAAGGGCAGCAGCCGGATAAACTGCTCGGCAATTGAGGTCTCTGTAGCCGACGTCCAACGTGGTGTTCGGAGAGTCTTGAGGAGTAGCCGCCGTATGAGTGATTATCGGCGGCTGACCCGCCACACCCATCATCTTGCTCTCTTTTTGGATATTACACTTGGGTTCATCGATCCGTTGCTTCCACGCGCTGTTTTGCTTCTCCCTGTTGTCCTTGTATTTTCTAAGCTCTTCTGCACTCTGCCACGAGTTCTTTTGATCCTGCAAATTGCGCGAGGGAAAAACTCTGACTCCATATGCGATTGAGACAATTCCGAGGTAAATTAATTTACTGTACCAATCTTGTAATAGTTGTATACATATTTCTTTAAGCAATCAATGCGCTCTATATAAAAAATTCGGAAATTTAATTTTTTTGTATATTTAATTTGTGCTTTAGCTGTTTTAGATATATCTTTGTGAATTTTTATGAAACGTCATGCCGACCCTTTCGAGAAAAGTCGAGCGAAAAGAATATTCGATGACCTTCGCAATCAATCTTTTCCGTGACAGAGAACGGAGAATAAACGAGCGTAGAATACTGGGCTTATTTATTTGAAGCAACCACGAGCAACTACCTGGGTATACGTATCGCTGTCAGAGATCGAATGCGATCCTGATACTCTCGACGATCCGTCTTCGCTGCCCATTCCAGCCTCTTTTGCAGCGAGTCTCTTCGCCATTTCTCTCTGCTCTCGTTCTCTCCTCTCGTTTCTCTGCGAAATACGCTATTAGTTATCATATTCTCCTATGTTTGCGTAATCATAAATCAAGTTTTCACAAACACATATTACCGATATATATTTACAATTCTTCGTGTAATATAAAACAGTTTTTAGATTAAATTCTCTTATAGATCAGAAGACTTAAATTAATGTCGTACTTATATATATTCTTCTGCATTACGTGAATATCATACTAAAAAAAATGACTTATTGCTCTCTAATTCCTACCTCCGATGAGAAGCCTTCAACGAGAATAGCGACCAGAAGATTAAAGAGAACATAATTTCCGAAGGTCATCAACGCTACGAAATAAAGTGCAGCCCAATGAGATGTCTTCTGCATACCATTGAAGAGGACGACGTTCCAATCTTCTTGCGTGAGAATCTACATAAAAAGAAGAATGGGAAGAGACTCTCGCTGCATATTAAATGGTATTGATGTCTACATTTACTTAATAGGGATGATCGGCAAGACGTTCTTTCTTTCGACGCGTGTCAAAAATTTATGTTGTGTAAAACATGCTCGTGAATGAAAAAAAGTTTCACAGTTTTTGATTAGAATTCAAATTACATTTGCATATATATTTGCAAGGTATAATAATAATGTAATTAAATAATTAAAATTATTGATCAATTCTATTATTATGCAAATTTGCGATAATAAAATTAAAAATTATAACAATATTATGATTATCTATATATTTATGATTTGTCAATACTTAGAAATTTTATAATATCCCATTAATTCCCATTAATTTGGTCGTAGAATATTAATATATTGTAAACAAATTTTAATTACATTATTTCAAATATTGAATTATACATCATGGTAGATACGGTCACATTTACATAACATTGAACGATGAAACACAGGAGTATATTAAATACTTGATCCAATTTGCGTCAACTAAATCCCGAAGCAAACAATTTATTTTAATAGAATATTCTTTAAATCTTTTTTATTAAAACCATTTGGACATATGTAGTCGCGAAAGATTGACGTACAAAACAAGTCGGCACTGGCGTTGCGTTCACAACGTGAACTCAAATTTGCATATTTAGTAAAGATGCACAAAACGTTTTGCCAACCAGCATCGCAATACTTTGTAAAAATGCATGCAATTGTATTTTTTTTCTATCACGAATTTCTCTTTGTAAGAGCTTTCGTGTTTATCCACGTATTCATCTATCTATCTTTATCAACCTTTCAATCTATTTCCAATCTATTTCTTTTTCTAGCCTGATAACATTACACGTTTTTTAAAAATACTACCATTTCTAAAAAAAAATTAATTCAGTAAAAACCAAATGGTTAGAGTTGAATGTTAGTAGTTAGTAAAATTGTTATTTACATGCGCAGAAAAAATATCGCACTAATCTATTAGTATTCCAGGTTTGAATTTACACACTTTTTGCACGCACAATGATATATATGCGTAAGAATGATACATAAAATTAAAAAATGCTGTCAATTTATTTAACAACATTAATCTTTGTAAATTATTGTACAAATAAATATACGCGTTATTATGAATAAACGTAGAGATATGCCACTGATACGCAATAATAATGATTAATTATTCAGCGATAAATTTAGAAGATCATCGATATGCATCGATAGAACACAGAAGTAAATAGAAACACGTGATAGAAAGGCAGAAACTCATTTGAGCGGCTTCTGCCGAGTACATCAGTTGCTTTACATGGATGATGCGTGTGCTGAATCGAGATCACAATATGCTCGTGGGTAGAATCGTCGTCACGCAGTTTAATCTGCATGAGCAAACGAAATGGTGAACATGAATGTCGACATGTATACGTATATACCGATTGCACGCGTGTAAATACAAAGCAACCATTAAAGGCTCTGTCACTCGGCACGGTTAACAAAGAGAGAAGAATGGACGAAGCGTGGGCGTGGGCTTAAGGGACGGTAGGATCAGATGTTAGGCTCCGTTTGCTCAATACACGTAGAAATATATGTATATATACATATATATACGATCCGGCGATCTGTACAGAAAGAAAGAGAGAGAGAGAAAAAGAGAGAGTGAGAGAAAAAGAACGTGGACACAAATATAGGTAGGAGAAAAAAGACCGTGTATACGCAAAAAAGTGGCTACGCATATATACGTGTATTGTCGCTTTAAACATGTAAAAAAAACCGTTATAATATAGTGTTAAGAGAGGGAGGAACAGTGGTACCTGAAAGACAGTGACTAGTGCCCAGACGATGTCGTTGAAATGTTTGCGATCACAGCGACACAATGGGTGCCGCGAGACCACCTCGGCACAGGTGCAGGGCCGACTCCGGTCCGCCCACATGCAAAACTTACCCCCGAACAGGTACATCCCTAGGATGCTGCAACCGAGACAATCCGCTGGCCTAAAGTATCCCCGCGATAGAGATCAACAGTGGGGAGGTGGGACCGGTAGTTGATGGGACGAGGACTTGGTACGATCGCCGTGCAGCGTCTCCGTTCTCTTTACTATATATATATGTATAGTGATTTTGTTAATTGAGCAATTAATTACGCAGGAAGTGTAATTGATTAATTTTTATACGGTCGTAACTATCGCGTTGTTACGTCAGCGACATTTGGGTGCAAATATGCACAAACATTGACGTCATTAATGTCGATTACTAGCATTTTTTCATCGATTGGCAGCTGACGGCTAAACATAACGGAGTTGATCCAATACGCCTAGATAAAAAAATAAAAATTTTCAGAAAATGACGCAATATTTTTCATTTGACACAAATAGTTGTATAATAGCTCAATTTTTAGTTAATTTTTCGAGTATCAAAATTTATGACAAAAATATTGTGTTAAATCGCTTTTATCCGTTAGCTTGTAGTTCGTTATTTTCGTGCTTAAATGCTCAAAGTAACAATCTAGGTTTAAAAGGCTCATATTTTAAAAATACTTCCGCAAAGAGAAACGTTTATTTTTAACTTTTATTGTATGTGTGTATGTGTGTGCGATAAGAGACTTTTTCGATTTTTCCATTCATCGTGCCAATAGGTATATATTGCTGATATAAATATCAAACTTTAACATTTTTATATCTCCTACTGAACCATACTGTATTGCATAAAAATTTTTAGGTATTAAATCAAAGTGTTACACACATACATGCGAATGTATCGAATTAATATCTGAAGAATTAAATTTATTGCAGAGAAAAATATTTCTTTACAAATTTTTATTTAAAAGCGCATTTTAGCGCATAATTTGTAATTTTTTAAATTTCTCAAATTTCGTTTATTACACAAAGATATTATTAAACTAATCTATATAATTAATATTAGCAGACTTGATGTTTGGAGAACGAAGATACTGCGTATTGTTAAAGGATTAAGCAATTGTGTTGGACAAAACAGCGAAAACGACTGTCACTCGAAGCTCGTACAGTCACATTCTGCAAGTTCGGCGTGTCTGTATATATATATATATAAAATATATGTATCTTGTATATATTTGCAACAATACAGGCGAATGCATGTAAAGTAGGTATACATTTATGGATTGTGGGTGAATCGTATCGACTGTGTGCGGTTGTAACGGGCTTTATACGACGGGACGGAGCAAGGAACAAGAACCAAAAATTCAAGAAACTAGACATATTTTTCTCAAAGAATAATTAAAAAAATTTCTTCATTACAGCACACTTAATTTTTCCTGAAATTATCCGAAAAGGTATCAGAATAAATTACACATACGTTCACAATCGTAATATAATATCTCGACGTAATGCGTCATACGAGCGTATTAATTGTTTAATGTTTCACGCGAGCAATCAATAATGCTAATTTTAGGGCGCGCGTTGGAACAATAATTGACTCCAATGCGACGTGACATCTGGTCTGCGGAAGTCATAACAAACAGTTATTCGGGCGTGTCTGTAAAAGAATTATCTGTCAAGCCTGTCAGTTGCGTTATTACGTCGGCTGATTTTTCTTGTGATTTTTCGTTTCGTTGAAAGTAGAAGCAAAGTCGGAGGCGTTGAATGCGCGCAAATATGACGAGCTTTAAATCAACGCCCGGACAAATATCCGCACACACTTTACGGATGTACCGGATACGTGAAAATAAACGGGACGAAAAGAGAGCTCCGGGAATGCGATTGCGAAGAGAAAAGAATATTAATGGAAACAAGGCACCTGCCGTTGCAGAATGTCACGGCGAACGTTTGCAAGAGAGAAGGGGAACAAGGGATAATTGCCACAAGCGTAAATATATAATCTTCTAATACGCAAATATAATACGGTATAATATTACGGCGAAATCTCTCTCAGCGAGTAATTCGCAGAAAGTACGCACAAATCTACCGAGACTGCTGATATTTGATACGATATTACGTGCCTTGCGCGAATCCAAACCACTATCTGGATCGTATCTCTAAGCTTAAGTAATAAGAAACTGCGTGTCTCTCTTCACTACAAGACTAAAAAATTTCTAATTGATAGCTCTTCGGACCACCTGACCTGATGATTCAGGCTATCAAAGCTGAATCAAATCTGATCCAACTTCTAAAAAGCATTCCCTTTCATGGAAAATACATATGTATTTAAGAAAATAGATAATAATAACTTTAAATAAAGATTTACTTTTAAATAGATGCAGATACGTGCGATAACATAATGGTAAATGAGAGTAAAAGCTGTTTAATTATTCGGCCTTCTCCGAAATATCTACGTGTTGAGCCTTGTCTGGCCCGTATATTGATTTATATTGATAGTAAAAACGCGCTCTGTTCGTGTTATTCGTGTACGATGGTTTCGTCTCAGGCCTTCAAGTGTTTCATTCTAGGGACTTGCTGACGCGACGATTTTCCTGTCGGGTCGAGTCGATATTTCACGCACGCATTGTATAACTCCGGACGAAGTTCTTTTTGCGCTCGAGTCGTCGTGGGCGTTTAAGAGACAGAAAGTGACAGAAAAGTTACGGATAGAACAAATAAGAGAAGTAGAAGAGAAAGAGAGAGGTAGAAAGAAAGAGGTAGGACAGTACGAAGAGAAGTGTAATGTCACAAGTGGTGAAGTAAAGTATAGTGAAGTATAGTGAAGTATAGTGAAGTATAATAGTGAAGTACAGGGAAAACAGAGAAAAAAATAAGCATGTAACAGAGAACAGTTTATTGTGCTACACTGTTAAAAATGTGTGACGTAATATCGAGGCGTCGTTCACGTACGTTCAGCAATGTCTAATTATTGTAAATGAAGTGTGTGAAAAGAAGGACGGACGCCGAGACAAATTACTGGCTCGGCGCGCGATCTCTTCTCCGCTGATCGCGGCGCTTCTTTTTAGCAGTGTAACTGGCAAAAATCTGTAAGTGAGATATATGAATGTCGATTTTCGTAAGAAGATGTGATGTGCAGCGAGGTGTGACATATATACGCGCGGCACAAAACACAACAACAACGATGCCACAATCACAGCGAATGCCTAAGAAAACACATCACATGCAAGCAATTTGCGCATTTCGCATGTCGTACGACATAAACCGGAAAGGAGTCTCATTTCCGATATATCGGTGGTCCAAGCCAGGACAAGGAGCCGATCCTAGGTTCGATGGGTAATCCTAGAACGGTCTTTTACCGTGTCATTTAGGCAGGATATGACGTGTCCAGGAGATTCGAGGATAGCTGTCAAACAATATCCCACGCACGTCCAGAAAATGTCGATTTGTCTTCTGAACGACTTAACGTGTCTTAAACGTAATCCCGTTGGGCTTATAATTTATATATTTGTATTTTTTGCTTATATATTTGTATTGTTGCTCCTTGTTTGGACACACACGATGACTATTTATCATTCATTGACGTGCGACGAACGTATAAAAACGATCGATCAAATTTTTGCACCTGCGTAATAGGATTCTATCGGATATTATCAGTTTTGATAATATCGTTTTCATCGTTCAAAATCGCTTCGAGACTCCAAATCGGCAAAATTTTATATACCATACTTGAATTTTAGTGTTTTCTATGTCATCAAAGATTTCAGTAGCGTAATGGGCACTACAACTAAATCTTCTACTCTGATAACATTAATATAATATTGAGATAAAAATAACATCAATATTGCCGATACGGGGATAAGCGAATGAGAAGCGTCTAAATAGAAATTTCTTGATGCCTGAGCGAAAATGCCAGCATTCTCACGAAAATCTTGAGCTTTCAAAAGTGGGGTTTAATCAAATTAACTTATTAATTTAATATTATACGACTCGGGATCATATTTTCTTTCATCTTTTTGTTTTATATGCTCGAAAAGTCAATGCCAATTTCATTACTTCTCGCAATATTCGCAAGATGTAGGCAATTTCGTTTTTTCTTGCGAGCACACAGAGAAAACAGCCGCATGCGAAAGTATGCCAGAAGGGAGCCAGCTCGACGCGCTCGCAGAAGACGCGGCAGGAGGCAGCGTATTAATATCGCGCATATTGCACTTGTGAAGCGACAGACGAATTATAAATGAAGAAGCACCAGGATTATCGTCGGCAATCTTATGCAATGTTCGATAATCCACACCGGATAATCCGTGTGCTCCCAGTTCTAAACTTTCCCTTCGCATCCCCTTTTTCAATTTGTCACAAAAAACAGGATCTTGAAAAATTTAAAAATAAATTCGCGTTAAAAATAAATTCTCACTCATTCTTATATACTTTGTTAAAGTTTCCATCACCCCTAAAGTATCGGTATCGATAGCCTCCTCCTGCCTTTCCCCCCCCTCCCCCTCGAGAAGAAATGACGACGACATGCTGGAAAGCGCTTATCTCCCAGTATACGTTACCTGAAGCCTCAGAAATCATATAAAGTGTAGGCGGACGCACGTTGCGAGAGATCGCACGACTTTAACTTAGTACGGAAAACCCAAACGTGACAGTACGTATGTATACTTAGCGTATATATATATATGTAGATGCGGTAGTAGTACAATGTTAATATATATAGACAACGTAATAATATATATATATATAAGTAATATACACTATATATAGAGAAGTACAAATGACCCTAGAGTATATACGTATAAATTATTCTTTTTTTTTTTTTTCTTTTTCTTTTTTCTTTTTTTTTTAGTAGGTACCTGAAACACCGTCACAATAGCCCAGAGTAACGAGTCAAAGTTTTTCCTATCACACTCGACGTCAGAGCTGCCTTTCATCGTTTCACAGAATTTGCAACCAAACAGGTTCATCCCGAGAATACTACAACACAACGAAACGTGCAATGTACTTCCTTATCCATATATATATGTATATATATATACGTAGATTGATAAGATGACAAAAAAATAATGAGAAAAAGAGATAGAATAAAGGGAGAAAGAAAGGGAGGGATAAAGCTCGATTAAAATAGAATCGCGATTTGTAAAGCATAACTCGGCCAAGTAACTAATCAGTTCAAAATGCAAGATGTTCTGAAACTATCGGATATCCTTTCGACTATGAATTTGATAACAACAGTGGAATGAGTGCTTTTTCTAAAGAGAACTTTTTAAAAGAATCTGTCATAAACTTTTAATCTTAAACGCAAAGTATCTCGTAAGGAAGAGAGAAAGAGAAGGAATATTAAATTAGATATATATTTACGTTTACTTAATAAGATCAACTAGTTCGCAGAATGTCACGACGAAAATAATTAGTGTTGAATGTTTATAGTCGAATGGATATTCGGTAATTTTATCACATCTTGGTATTGGATATCTTGTGATACGACAAAAGTGCAGAATCGATCAAATGGCATTTTCCGCGAGCTTTACGTTGTAAAATATAATGCTCATCTTTGGATGTGGCGTATGTCATAAAGAGAAACGTAAAATATCGACGATACCGGTCAGAAGCATTTGAGAAAGTTCGAATCGATTTCGACGTGAACTTCCGTCGTTCGTCGTAATTTGAAACCTTGGCCGAGTAAGTCGGGATCTTGCTTGCAATCCCGATGCAAGTACATCATGAGTACTCCGTTATTTAGCGCACGCTGGCCGATCAGGAAAGGAAAAATCCTCTAAAGCGGATCTTTCGAAACCTCATTCGCGTCTTGCGGCTAAAAGAAGGATGCAAACACACCTAGAGATGGCCGTTGAAGAAAAAGATATCTACGGATTGGCGCGCAGAGACGTACTCGCAAGCATTTGCATAGTTTCGTATGACTTTGTATCCACTTTCGAAAGTTCACTTTATCTTGAAGAGAGTTTCGAATGCAAAAAGATCACTCGGATTTACATCAGCGAAATGTGCGACTTTACCGAATATTCCTCGCTTTTCTTTTGGGATTTTCCGAAAAATCCGTAAAAGTTAACTTTCACGTAACAAAATTTACATTTTTAAATTTATTAAAAAATCGAATAAGTACTGTTAAATTAAAAAGACTGTTGTCATTTTACTGTTAAAAAAAGTTTGAACAATTTTAAAAATTTAGTAAGATTATTGAACGTGGCGAATTTTATTTCCTATTTTAAAGTGTTTAATTATTTGTTAAGCTTGCTTACAATTTTCAATTAAGGTACGGTAAAATTTCTAACGTTTGCGTTTACGTATCTGCGGCAGATATCGAGCAATCAGTTGCAGTATCGAGATCGCAATAGCGAAGGCTGCGGCTGCGGTGGACGGCAGATCGGCCATCGAACGATCGTAAAACGCGCCGTAAACGCACGGATGTATATAGCGGGAAGTCCTACGCAGCATGACGAGATATATATGTATATATATATATATATATATATGTAATTCTGCAGAAGTATATGTCGAACATTCGCAAGCTGTTCTAATATTGAGGGCCACACCGCATATTGAGGCGCACGCACCTAATATAAGAGCTCAGAATAGCAAGAGAGAGAGAGAAAGAGAGAGCGACAGCGGAAGAGATTCACGTGAAATATAAAAATGATTATAAAAATAAAAAAATGTGATGATAATAAATATATATATATATATACATATAGCCCTTCATACTCGTCGCTAAGACGTCCAGCAGAAAAGCATCACATGCACACACATGTAAATATATATTCCATATACGTATATATATATTTATATATAGATATATTTTCTAGGTAAACGAAAGTACGTTCGATGCCTCAAGCCATAAAAGAGGAGCCAGCAGTAGACCGGCTCCCCTCTCGTAATAGATCGTGCCAACAAATATCATCGTCATTACCATTAACAACGTTAGAAAATATGCCGCTCAAAGAAACGCTAGGAGACGCGAGAACACGGGACAACTGCTGGTAAAACTTGAGAATTTCTATATATATATATGTGATATGCATTAACTGGCGGTTCATACACCGCGCGGAAATAAAGTAAAAGCGAATAAAGTAGAAGAGAAAGGTATGAACGGAAAACAGTCACCTAATGTAGGCCTCGGCTCGAAGAGCAGCGGCACGCGATTTACTCCTGAAGCTCGAAAGTTCGTAGAAGCGAGCAAGAAGCTGTTTTCGAAATATCGAGCGTCGACGATATTACGACCAAGTGCATATAATTAAATTAAACATAATATTCAATAAATTAACAAGAAAGAAACAACAGTAGAAATTTTAAATTTGGAGAAAATTAGAATTTAGAAATTAGAAATTGTAGGTTTTTTTTGAATGTTTATATTAACAAAAGTACTAATCTTTAAAAAACTTTTCAATATTTAGAATTCTTTAAATTCTTACCTTTTTTGAAAATTAGAAAAGATATTTCTTAAACTAAAAATAATTTTTAAAAATAATTTTTAAAAATTCATATTTTTATATTTATAAAGTTAGTGAATAGCGTGGATAAAATGGATAAAATTTAATTATCGAACATAGTTTCCGTCGCCATTGTTGCCGGGAACGATATGAATTCATTATTATTATGAGACACACAAAATCCATCGAGCTTTCTCGTGACTTTTCTAAAGCAAAATATTTTATATTATTACGGGACCAAGATTATTCTTGGATATATTTCGTCATCGACGCTTCATATCTCAAAGTTCTTGCCCAATTTATTTGACAATATCTATCGGCAGTTTCGTAACTTCGATCCGTCTTGCCAGACATGCAAACGTTACTAGACTGATGAGATGATAATTAGAACAGGAAGACGCGGCAGCGCCCCGTAATCGGTGTAAACGCGATGTGCGCGGTTCCAATCGGGCGATTCCTTCGCGATCAAATTCAAATTGGCGATGATACCGGTTCGCGAAGTAGACGAACAATCATCATAATCGCAAGAAGAAACAAAAGAGAAACAGGGAAACGGAGAAATGGAGAAACGATCCGGTGACGCGGGCCCGAGGCCCGGAATTCCGGCAGTGTCGCTGACGCGGACGAAAATAAGACGGCGACTTACCTGAATATAAAGATGAAAAGTACTAAAAGAGAAAAGAATACGGCAACGTTATCCATGGTGCGCAGCATCACAAAGAGCTGACGTCGCAGATTGGGCAGGAATCGCACAAGCTTTAGGATCCTGAGGAGGCGGAAGGTGCGCAGGACGCTCAAACCGGAACTGCCGCCACGTTCCTCCACGACCGCCTGGCAGAGCTCGACGACGCTGGAAACGCGTCGTAAGAAATTCAACTATGTTACAACTATGTTTTTCCTTTTGTAGCAGATGATGAGTTTTCGGAGACTTTTATGAGACAGCTGCTTTATGGCTCTCTCGTAAAACCAAAATGAGATTGCGCTGACATCGCATATATACATATATGGATCTTACAAGACTTCAATATCATATATATGATGTTTATTTAATATTATTTGTTTACACAAGTGTTATATTGTAATTTATATTGTAATATATTTTATATTGTAATATAAAATTTTAAACAGTTGTCTTACCTTAGGATGACGACGATGCCGTCGAAGACATTGAAGCCATTACTGATATAACCGAATGGACCTTCTGCTATTACCTTAAGCAACATCTCCACCGCAAAGATCGCCGAGAATACAATATTGCTTATTTCAACAGCCACTGTTAATTGTTCCGGCTGCATATAATCATAATTAATAATTATATTTTGTGGAGCAATGTTTAGTAATTATAAAAATTGTTTTAAAAATGATATTATAAAATAGTTGTGTATACTTTTTACAAAGAATATCATTGCGCTAATTTAATAACAAATTCAAAGCTAATCATGTCATATTAAATTATAGAAAAAGAATAGAAAAATTCAAAAAAATACCAGAGTAATATTCGATCAATCGATACCAATATATATTCCTGTCCAATTCGAGGGAGGTAAGGAATCACCTGGTTGTGATATTCGATTCCCATGCTCAATGTGTTGATGAGGATTGCCAGTAGAATACCCTGCTGGAAGTATTTGTGTTCAACAAGTTTCTTGATCCACCGTCTTATACAACGCAAGGTGCAGATGCAGCAGTTGCCGGCACGTCTCAGGAACCGTTTGGGCCGCGAAGACTTTTGCCACTTTTCATTCTCGTCCGGCCACTGTTCGCCTCCCTGCAGCTCGCAACAACAGGAACAATTGTCAACGTCGGATGTCAACCACTGTGTGCGTTTTTCCAATGTGATGTGACGATCCGTTATACCTACGAAACACATTAAGATATTCTTATGTTTTTTCCTTCGTCTCAATCAATTTATTTAATTATCATATGGTTATTTACAAAAAATAATTAAAGCTCATAATGTTTACATAAAAAATAAAATATTTACACCAAATATTTACAAAATATTTACAAAATTGATAATATCTTTTAAAAATGTAATATTTTTGTAAAAAGATTTTATTACTTTAATGGTTTTTACTTTAATTTAATTTAATTCTGAAAATTAAACGCAAATATAAGTAATTAAACTCTAAAAAATGCTCAAAGTATTTTTAAATAATAATTCAACAATTTGTAACAACAATTTGTAGTTTTAAAATCACGTTTGTCGTATCAAATATAGACTTGCCTTTTGTGAGAGAATTTAGAAAAGAATCGAGCGCTAATTGGCCAGTAGGTAGAGCAGCGCTGAGGGCACCGCTGAGAGCCAGCAATTCTTGACACGTCATAGCCTCGTTACCACCCAGCTCGACTTGCATCTGCGACAATATACGTTTTATCTAGGAAAGGAAGAGACTTCCGCGATTTAGCGAAGCAACCGTGACAGATGAAAAATTACCTGTGCATGGTCCGACAGCGGACTGGACCAAACGTTACCATCGCCCGTCTGTGTCATCTTCTCGCTCGAGCAGACGTTGCGTTCGCCCGGCGTCACCGTCATCCCCGGCTGCAACGCATTCCCGACATTATTGCTGCCATGGAGCAGTACCACGTCGCTAAACATTACGCTGCTTCTTCTCCGATAATGCGTACATGGTGGACTCAACAACGTGCTGTTCGTCTAGAAGGCGATAATCAAGCATACGTTATGCATATTACGCACTACGACAAGCGCTCTCTCTCGTAACCGTTCTCGGCCCAAACTTGTAGCATTAAGGGAAGAAACTTTATGCACGATATCCTGCCGTACCTAAAGTTCAAAATTACCGCTCTTTCTTGTGCAAACGTACTTTCCATTACTGTCCACAAGAACTCGAAATCAAACGTAATCGATGGAACGTAAATGCTAATATTCTTCTATGAAGAAGCATAATCACTATCAAAGTACAACACTACTATCGGTATAAAGCAGAAGATAAGAAATCAGCAAAGAGAATAGCTTAACGGGAAGAGCGCTAACGAATCATTCAAAAATATTCTTGCTTGCCTACGATATATCTCTACTAATAAGATCATAAAATTAAGTGTATAATATTTCCAAAAAGTAAAAGCTCAAGCGACATAATTGAGACTGTCGGAGAAACGAAATAACATTGTGGGTCTCCGATAATAAAATTAATATCATAAATTAATTACTTACCATTATTTCTCTTATTTTAATTAAATTAATTATGTAACATTTATATGTTATTAAAAAATCATTTTCTGTTTTATTTCAATTATGTCGCTTGTCGCTTTGACATGTGTGAAAGATCTCATGTGTGATGCGTTCTCGCATGCATGTCTACAATGATTGTACTTGCCTCGGCCGCATTTCCTACGACGTTGTCACTTCCGTTGCAGGACGCGGAGGAGGTGCGATGAACGCTCAATCTGTGGCACATGTTCGTGGAAGCCTCGGCTTCGGAAAGTTCGGGGCTGGCTCGGGGTGCTGTGTCCGAGTTTCCGCTACCACCGACGCTATTGCCGACGGTCGTGGGAGCGGCGATTGCTACCATCGATTGCGTCGGGGATGTGATCGCAGCGAAATCAGCAACGGATCCGCCATGACCGCTCACGACCTGTTGTTGCTGCTGTTGCTGTTGTTCCGCATATTCTAACGCGGCGAGGAGTCGCGGACACCTCCCGTGATGCAGTCTTCTATCTGGATGCGCAGCAATTACGAGAGTTCACAGAAGATGTCGATATTAAGATCGTAAAAATTTGTAAAAATTTTTCACCTCAAAATTCATATTTAATTTCTTTTTTTTAATATTTGATTTTCACATTTAAAATTACTCACCGCCCGGTACGCGATTCGGCCCAACAGCAGTGGTGTTCGAACGAAAAGCTTGATTCTGCTGTTCTTTGAGCAGATTTTGCTCGCGCTTCTGCTGTCTCCTGTACAACCACAGGCGATATCTCTTCATCAGTCTTCGTTTACCCCGTCGCCAGAGGTGGGCGATATATCTGGAAAGAGACATCAAATTGTTATTCAGCATGAGCGCCGCGAATCTTCTGCAGATGAATGAATGATGAGGGGCAATCCGACTCGCGTCAACGGCGTCCTCGGGGAATATGTAACAGCGAAGAGCACCCACTTGACGATTTCGGCGTAACAAGTAGTAGGCTCCGAGGTATTCGTAGACGAGGCGAGCGTCGAGGTCGAATGGTAACGCGCGCGCTCCAGCCGCATCCTCTCCATCTCCCGCTTCTTCGTTTCCGAGAATTGCGTCGCGATTACGACCAGGCAGAGGTTGATCATGAAGAACGAGCCGATCTGCAAACGCGAGTCGCCCTTAACTCGCGGATCTTCAATTTTATAATGTGCTCTGCACTTGTTTTACATTTATTTTGCAATCATTATCTCTCATCTTGCTATTTTCTTATGGATTATATTACAATATTCTCATTTTACCAACTAATTATGTATGACATAATTATTACGGTATAATGGTTATTATCATCATTTACGTTGAAAAATAATTTATCTTGAAGGTGTATGCCCATGGAAAACACACGAATGCGAGAAACAGGCTGCGCATATTACTCATTAAGCTTTACATACCGCTCTCGTCGTGCAATTGGGACAGGAAATGGAGCACTTACGACTATCAGGAGTACGAAGTATATCCAGTCCCAGAACGAGTGGGCGTCTTGCACGTAATACATTATGTCCGTCCATCCTTCCAGACTAATTACCTACAAATCAACATGATTGCGCCATTCAGCATTATAGTAAAATAATAATAAATGACAAATTTAGCCTATTAATGAATTAAGATATGTCAGTAAAAAATATTAAAATATCATAATTTTTGTTTAAACTTAGGCCAAGGTTTTTAGAAAGAAAAATTATTTTATCAAACGCGTTAAAAAGAAATACGTGAAATTTTTACATTTTCACCATATAGAAATACGCCTTCCAACTGGCACATTACTCACTCGTGATAACATCTTATCGAATGAAAACCAATTCGTCCGCAATATCGATAGAATAATTTTTCTCTTTTCTCCACTATCGTGGACTAATGTGTGTGTGATTCGCATTTCCATCGACTTTCGGGCGCCGTAAGAGTATTTTACTTATAGATAGGGAGAAATATTCCGCGCCACGAGTACGGTGTACACATGCATACGTGAATTATTCGTTTCTGAACGAATGTAGGACGAGTAACTAAAGCGCTCACAAGAAATATGGCAACCCAGGCGAGACCAATGTTATCGAACGAAATTGTTCCTTGGAATGGATTGTTGCCCTGGCCTTTGCACTCCGTGTAGTAGTAGTTCCAATTAACGCAGGTATCGTTGCTGATAAACGTGATGTTACTGTTTGGCACTGCGGTATTGTTGCACACCACGTTCCCTGAATGTGAAAAACCGCCATTGCGTCTGATTACGGTGATTGAGCGGTTATCGGAATATGTGGTGTAACGTGATTAATTTACATTTTAGGGAATTTTAGGGATTCAGCATGAAAAATATTTTATTCCAAAACTTCTCTCGTCAAAGCGTCTTATTAAAATTTAAGTACGCTTCATATAATATGTTCTTGGATTTTATATTTATGAATATTCTATCTCAAGCGCTTTTAATCTCATGTTTTTATATGATTTTTAGAGAGTTTAATTCAATAAACTTGATATATACTAAGTCATATTTTGCAAGTTCATTTGAAATTCTCTGAAGAGAGTACTCACCAAACTTGAGAGGCGGCAGATTACTGCAGGAGTGCATCCCGCTGTCGTCGGGACGCGAACAAATGTAATCTTGACCCTGATACTCGAAATATTTCTCCAGATCACTGGAAAAACAAATTGACGATTAAAAATTTACGTACATTTACGATCTCCGGGTAGATTCTTAAGTTTAAAGACTTGCGTACATATGCTTTATTATGCACGGATGCACTCTTCGCATGCTTCGCTTATGCGTACATTATATGTAGGTATGCAGCGTGTTTGATATAATATATAGTATATATAGCGTAAATGTATACAAAACGAGTCACTAGAAACAGTCATCTAAAATAACTCCTTACGCATTGATTTAAAAGGAACACTTGAAAAAAGAATGAGAATTTTTAGAATAATTCGTTGAAAATACATGAATTTGATCTAACGGTTTTCGTATTTTTAAAAATATCCTCGATATTGAAATTATTAATTTTCCCATGAATATATTTAATAATGTAATATGAATATAAATGACATGTTTTAAAAAAGTGCTTGTCTTCTCTGAGAAAAGAATTACGATGCGAATATGAGATAGAAAAAATTATTATAGATGATGGTTTTAGAATTCGTTATATATATATATATATATATATATATATATATATATATTCATATATTTATTATAAATATGATATGATATTCCGAGGGTCGCGGAATTACCGGAGGAGCTCCCAGTGCGCTTTCTTGCATAGATGGGTATTAGAACCGAAAATATGTAAATGCGATCGATCGAAAGTCCTGTGCTATACGAATGAAGGCTAATCGTAAACGACCTACACGTCGCGCAAATCATTGTCAGCGTAACGCGGCTGTGGCATTGATTCGCGAAACTGATCGATACACACTTAACGCGGTATTTGTCCCGAGATTGCTTCGAATAAAGCTCGTTGTTGTTCGGGAAATCGGGCGCGTTTTCCATCGGCCTTGTCATGCTTACACTTTCGACCATGTTTATATCACTGGTCGACAGCTCGTCCGATGATTCTCGGACACCTCGTATAATATATACGTACACGTATGTAGATGCACAACGTACGTGCGTAACGATTGAGAGAAAAATGATGTACAACGTATGTGCGTAACGATTGAGAGAAAAATATAGGCAAATGCAGATATATATACGTATATATATACCGACACGAGTTTGCGTGCACGCGACTGATATCACGCCGAAAATAAAATCGGCTGGTGCGAAAAGAAATATAATTAACACGAGGTACCGTACCGAGATATCGTGCCGAAAATAAACGACCGTTAGCTTCGAAGATTACACCTTTGTCGAGGAACATAAGTGGAATCTTGCACGAAGAATACCGAGATGGTCACGAATCAAATGTTATTTAGCATGAATGGCAAAATGATAAAAATTATTTAATATTATTAGATATGGTATAAATAAAAAAACAAAATTAACAATATTCTCTTTCTCTCATATACGGATTAATATTTGCACATAATCCTAGACATATTAACGAACGAAATATAAACAAATAATGTAGTATTTCAAATCTAATATATATCTAATAATATGTGATATTTTGCACTATGCCCTTTAGAATTGGAAGGTACTGTGCTATCTTTCTCCGAGCTCGATTATACTCCTCTATCGCAATATCTTGGCGTCTTTTATTCTGAATTTTCAGACGTACTCGTGATTGATAATCCTGTTAAAATCAATGATTGATCTTACTTTGCACTTTATCTCGCATCATGCTGATATTCTTAAATTTTTTAACAGTGTCATGTTGAAATATCGTTCTTGATATTCGAACAATAAATGGAGCAATAGAGGAATATTGCCTTACAAGGCGTTACACTTGCTAAAATAATGCGACACAATCGTTATCCAAACACACGCTATGTATGCTTAATTAGCAGTGTGCACGTAATCGCCTGTGCTCTTCTTAATTTGCGTGCCTTTAATGCGGCATAGGCATGTGCTTTACTTGTTTGTGCTCGTTGTGCTGATCGTGCCAGTCGCTCTACATCCTCCCGTATATATTTATAAGGTGATGTCCTACTTTTAAACAATACATCAATCCCCATAATCCCCATACTATCGCTTCATCGCAATTTCATATCGCGACAAACTTCTCATATTTGTGCCCTCATATTTTGATGTCACTTTTAATTTGAAAACATCGTGAAATATGATGATATGAGGAAAAGAAATTGTTTAAAACTTCATAAAAAAAGTCGCATAAAAATCATAGAAATAATTATAATTATAATTAAATTAAATCTGTTAATTTTAATTTCTATTTATTTATAACAATATGCTGCATTTATTTTACTTATCATTATAATAATTTTATTTCAAAGCAAAATAGACTATTATACGAGAGCATGATAATAAAAATCTTGTACATTTCTGTGCGCATCTTGGCAGCGATAGCGTGTCGATATTTTTAATTGAAGTAAGCAGATATTTGAGATAATTTTTAAGATGAAATTCTTGATTGTGTGCATTTACTTTTGTTTTTTTTAAACCGTAAACGTTTTATCTCAAACATTATTGCATATAGAATCAAATGCGTGACGTTACTTTTGATGCTTGTTCAAATTATCATTATGGCAACTGTGAGATAGACGTTAACGCCTTTTCCAGAATATATTTGACTTGCATGCTTTAAAAATTGCAAGTTAATATCGCTTCCTCCAGGACCATCGCTATCCGCGATGCCCCAGCGCTGCGCTACCAAGTCGATAAACGTTCGAAAATAGCTGCTACGTATACCGGAATAGACCGCGCGAGCACCGCGCGTTTAATTAGCTTTCTCTCTAGGCTTGGGCTTGGAGTTTTATGGAACCTATTTCTCTTTGCCGCACTCTCTATCGCAAATTCGAAATTAAATTCGACTTCGAAGCATTGTGCATCCGGGCGCGCAAATATGCATCTAGGATGGTAAATCTTGAAATATGCTTCCTATTCCTTAAATATGTCATAATCGTATCTGAGAAACGGCACGTCCCACGAAACGTGCGGACGTGTGAAAGCCTAGAGTCTCGTTTCATCTTCGTCTCGTTTCATATTCATTGACAGCAACGTCATTGATACACAGAGTGCTCGCGACACCGCGTTCATGCCTCGCAATGAGATTTCTGAAAGAGAGTCACGTCACGATGTTTCCTTGAAATGTTGAAGCTCCGAGCTTTTGCACAGCAAAGAATTAAAGATGAGGAATTTCCTATTTCAAGGTGACATCAACTTGAAATTCACATATCAAAAATCTCGATATTCGATGCATGGGTCACAGTGAGTTCGAGGCACTCTACGTATGCAACGGAAAGGTACGCTATCGTGAAAGCAGTGCGATGTAGTGAAACCACAGAGATCACCGATGCCACACACACAGTTGCTTAAACGGTAGTTCACATATGCAGAAAGCATCGTTAAACGACTAGATACACGCTGAGGAAGGATAAAATATAGTGGCAGAGAATGAAGGAGATAGTGAGAGTGAGAGAGAGACGCGTGAGCCGCGAAAGAGGTACACATGTCCAGAGCAAAAGAAGAAGGAAAACATCGACTCGTGCATTGAAGCAGAACCGAAGAGATTCCAAAGTATCGGAGTACAGTAATCTCGTGGAGAGAACGTGGAGTGTCCGGGTCATCAACAAATTATGGATTCCTTTATGCATCATCGACGTATCCCCGCTTTCGAAACCGCGCGCCCACGCGATTTATATACAATTGGATACGTTGAAGAGAGAAGAGTTTCAGTGCTGGATTGAGTGTGAAATAGTCCGAGCATTAAAATAATATCTCGAAGTTCAGAAGAGTCGATCTCGCTTCTCTCGCTCTCGGGGATCTCAAAACTATCATCTCCTCGATCGGCAGCTAATATTCAAAACAATATCTTATTTCATCATCAATTGAGAGTCGACATGCTCTATGTGGTACACACTACGGTACAGTCGCACATTG